TTTGTTGGTTTTAGTGGTTCCATCACTGTTGTTTATCAGCATGCTTGCCCAGTACATGTTGCACCTCACTCATAAATCCGCCTCCACTGCTCCAAAAATAGAATTGAATGGGTATTTTATTGTTCTGGGGAACATTGTCAAATGTGTATGGAAGAAGAAGAAGAAGTTATTCTGTGTATATATCATGTTAAAAAGCGAAAAAGGCATTTGTTTAACCATTGTTTCTACGATAACAGTCTTATTAAGGATTATTTAGGATGTTCAGATTATTGATAACAATCTGATGTACAGCATTTATGAAAACATCTAAATAACTCCATTTAGGAAGGCGAAAAACAAAATACCAAACGAGATGTTGACATTAATGGTAGCTCACAAGCAGTGTCAAGCATATCAATACTTCACCTGGAGTTCAGCTAAATAACTACGTTATCACACAGCAGATTGTCTTGTATGTTCTTCGGTAGAAGTTTGATTGTTTGTTGTTTGCTCGATTCTTCAGGACTCGAGAGCCTACTTCCACCTCCTGAATCAAATCTCTCCAAAAGGCAAAGATGAAGATCACCCACGCATTGACATCGACATGGCAGGCTTCAGCGTAAGCTCTTTGACAGCCGACACTCGCAGCTCCTCCACCACACTGTGACAGCCGGTGTCTCTGATCGGAGCGTGTGCTCTTTTGTGTTGTCCAGGAGAAAGACGACATGAAGAGGGCAGAGGCCATGCTGCAGCAGGCCGACAGACTCGGCTGCCGACAGTTTGTCACCCCGGCTGACGTCATCAGCGGAAACCCCAAACTCAACCTCGCCTTTGTGGCAAATCTGTTCAACAAATATCCAGCGCTGACCAAACCCGAGAATGAGGACATCAACTGGGGACTGTTGGAAGGTGAGTGTGGAGGGGATTCCAGGTCTGGTATTTGTCGTGGTGTAGTTTTCCATGTCTGTTACCGCCATGGAGGTCCACTGGAGAATGGGTTGCAAACTAATAAAGTCTAAAAGCACGAATGGGAATCGATTGCCGGAGGAGAATTGTCTCTAAACAAACGTTTGAATTGTGTTTGCTGACTAACTGGCCTGTGGGGGTTTTTTTTGCATAGAAGCTAGTTTTATTTTTTTGTAATGTGACACCGAGCCACTCGATACCTTAGTAAACAGAACATGTAATTACGACAATCTAGTTACCAGATTATTTTTTCCATACATACCTAACAGAGGCCCATTCAGTTCTGATGAGGCAGCATGTTTAGAACCACACTGACTATTACTGAGACCCGCCACGTCAGCTGAAGGCCTCTAAATCCTATGATCCTCTAGGTGAGACACGGGAAGAGAGGACATTCAGAAACTGGATGAACTCTCTGGGAGTGAACCCACATGTCAATCACCTGTATGGGTACGTACCACAAACAACATACCAAGATCATCACACTCCTGAATCTGGTGAGGACTCGTAATTAATCACGCGTTGATGATTATCTAACGTAGTGTTGTCTTCCAGAGACCTACAGGACGCCATGGTCATCCTTCAACTCTACGAGAAGATTAAAGTGCTCGTGGACTGGAACAACAAGGTCAACAAGCCGCCCTACCCCAAACTGGGAACCAACATGAAAAAGGTGAATCCGATTGTTTTCAATCATTCTGGCGTTTTTGCTTCCTTTTTTTGACAACTATTTGCTTGCGCCTCCAGTTGGAGAATTGTAATTATGCCGTGGAACTTGGCAAAACAGCCAAGTTCTCCCTCGTTGGCATCGGCGGGCAGGACCTGAACGATGGCAACGCTACCCTGACTCTGGCACTGGTGTGGCAGCTGATGAGAAGGTGAGACACAGTAACTCAGGAACATTTAAAGGTTTTACATTGTACTGCTTCCGTTAAGGAAAAACAAGGTAGTATTTTCGTGTATTAAAATATATAATGAAAAAAGGCAAATGAGGAGCCTACAAAACAATTTGGTCTTGAACCAGAAGATGTAAAAGTAGGTTACTGTCAAGGAGTTGCTGACAAGTTTGTTGTTGGACTCACTTTGCTAACTGTATGTTTACTGTAAACAACTCAGTGGAGTAAGCAGTTGGTGACCTCCATGTCATACCAGTGGTGCTGGTAATATATGTCCGTCTCAAATTTAAGACGTATAGCTCAGCTGCCTGGATTATGTGTACCCAATGTTCTCAACTCTTGAAAAATATTTAAACTGGAGTTCAATTCAAATTCACAGGGTAACAAATGTTTTACTTTTCTGCAATTCCAGATATACATTGAATGTACTAGAAGGACTGGGTGACGGACAGAAAGTAAACGATGACATCATTGTAAAGTGGGTGAACAAAACATTGGCAGAAGCTGGAAAATCAACCAAGATTTCAAGCTTTAAGGTAAAGCTGTTTTTCCTCTTTCATTGATTGTACTCATGTTAAAAAATAACTTTGTGAGGATACTCATATGGAACGTTGACATGAAGGAGCTCTTATTAAATTAAAAAAAATCTTTCTTTTTGCTTTGTTAGTTTGATATACACAGATGATAAAACCCTGTGAGTCAGGTACGCCGTTGTGTTAAACTCTTAATCAGTGTGTCGTGTGCTGATCAGGACAAGGAGATCAGCAGCAGCTTGGCAGTAGTGGAACTGATCGACGCCATTCAGCCCGGCAGCATCAACTACGAGCTGCTGAGAACCGGCAGCCTCTCTGAAGACGAAAAGCTGGAGAACGCCAAGTAAGCTTCTCTACCACGTCAGAAGGAACGAGGAGCAACCGTTGCCATGGTTTTTTTTTTTGGTGGCTTGTGTGGGAAGCCTTTCTGCCCGAGTCAACCTCTCCTTGCTCCCCTAGGTACGCAGTCTCTATGGCGAGGAAGATCGGAGCACGCGTCTATGCCCTCCCAGAAGACCTTGTGGAGGTGAAGCCCAAGATGGTGATGACGGTCTTTGCCTGCTTGATGGGTCGGGGGATGAAGCGGGCCTAAGAGACTGGCCGGAATCATTGTGACACTTATTCTTGCCCACCAGCCATTTGAGTCTTGAAGAGCTTCCCCAAACTGAAAGAATGAAGATTTGTTGTTTTGTTTTTTTGTATGACAATAAAATGCTTTCAGAGGCAGAATTTGCATGCGCCCTGGTCTCTTTTGAGGCGTTTACTGAACAATAATGTCCTCTTCTTTAAAGTCAATCCACAATACTAAATTGTCTGAAGAGAAGGGTATCTTGCTACAGTGGACAACGTGTTGCTCTCCATATTCAGGACTAGATTAATGTAAAAGAATGTTGTTGGTTTTTTTTAAATGAGTATTCCTATATTCCAGCTGCAAGGTTGTTTACATATTTTTACTCCGACTGATACGTAAATTTTATCCTTGGCAAAGCAACACACATTCCTGAATATCATATGAGGAAGGGAGAGGCAGGATGTTCAGGTGGAGCACACCCTAAAAAAAAAAAACTGCCTCTTACCCTTAATGAAGTACAAGCATGTCTTAATAACTGCCAACATAAATTCTACAGGTTTGTACACAGAAGCCATCAAGATGAAATTATAAGACCAGCTTGGCGTGGTGTCTGTGCCCTTGTACTCGTCGTTTGTTTGTTTCTTTGGGATATTTACTAGAGGTAAAATGCTGTCTTCTTTTGGGGCGTCTGGTCTTTGTTGTGTCGGACTCCTGTGGTCGGTTGCGGTGGATGAGGAGCAGGCGGACTGGACTCTCCTGGCTTCTTCTGTGCCTTCTCGTCGCAAAGATGACGTGTACTCACGCTTTTCAGGATTTCCCTTTTGTATTCAACAACACCAAATATAAACCGTTACTTCATTCCAGGTAGTTCCATGATATTCTTTGACAATGGCCAAATTGTATTCGGTCTAATGTCCACGTCTACTCTTGTGTGCTTGTAACAATAAATATTAAGTTGAAAACTGCGGGTGTGTTTTGTCTTTGAAGTTTCTAGAAAAAAATGGAGTTGACAGTGGCCCAAACATCTTTTAAATAAACATACTGTATGTCAAGTGTTGTTTGCCTTTTAATAGTGATTAGAAAGGACTAATGTCACTTCATGTCATGTTCTTCGCATCACCGTCATCATCAGCCACTCATGTGCTTCACACTTGGTGGGTTTATTGCTGGGAACCTCATGGTGTCTTTTATGACTTGGGACACATTCAATATAACCCAGAACTTAGAATAAAGTAGTGCACATTTTCCTAATGTTCCTTATCTGTGTTAAATGCTGTGTCAGCATAGATCAACTGCCCTGAGTGTCCTTTATTCTCACCTGGGGAAGACATCCCAACTCCTTTAAGTGGGAATGTAAATGCCAATAATTATCCTCCTCAGTCTCTTCTAGTGTGTAATAATGAAACACAAACTGGTACACACGAGTAGACCAACTTACTCGATGATGATCCATCGAAGGCAAAAAGCTTCCCTGCACATCAGCAATAATCGGATAAAATCTAAATAGTGTTTAGAAGTAAAGACACCCGTTACACCCGTAAACGACGTAAGTTGACTTTGAGATTGGAGAAGAAACATGGCCTCCATGTGAAGCCGATGTTAGCTGAACTGGAGAAACTGCTGTTTCATTACATTTGATGTCAACATGAATAAAAAGCGCTTTAGCTTCAGAGAAAATAACTTTCCATGGCAAACTCCATCAGTGGCTTTTTGTGATCTAAGAAGAATACCGATCTGAAGCCGTCCAACATAACGTCACTTTTATGAGCTCAGCTTTGATCTAAATCTCCTTTTATTGCCGCCTGCTTCTCCTTTCTATTAATACCCTGACGCTTTTATACATTCTTCCCTCTTCTTTCCTCATAAAACCCAGCCGCCGTTTTAAATGGCACCTCATAAAAGACAATACACTGCCATTTTCTTGTTGTTTGAGTTTCCTCTCCCTCCCGTGTCCCCAGACGAAACGCTATATTGCATTACAATAATCTGTTACACTTTGTTGTCTCTCTGTCTTCACGGCCCATCAACAGTCTTGCAACACAACAGAGGACAGCGTTGACAGATTGTAGTTTATTGTTCACCGCACTGCATCTGAGTCAGAGGAGCCCTCTGGGCTGCGCTCCCTGATGGGTTGCTCCGAGAGTCTCTGGTTTTCTGGATCTGATTAAAGCTGAGACTGTCAGCCTCCGTCAGAGTGGTGAGGAGGCGGTTCCCCCGTGGCCTCCGTCATCTGGATCAGGCGGTGTGTCATGTGTGATGTTGGAAACAGTTTGTATTCATAAATAAAGCATGAATTTTATTTTATCATCATCATTAGTAAATAGAAGCGAGGCGGAGATGCAACCAGTCTCGTACCAAGCTAAGACACAATGTGATGTAAACAGTTATAAAATATCAAGCTCATCTGAACAGTGGTGGAAGGAGCATTGTGACATCTGGTTTAACCTTTAACACTGCAATGTGATTTATATAAGGAGTGAATGCAACTGTCAGATGAAGTTTAGTAAAAAAGTATGCTGTTAGTGTAACATGTGGAGGAATATGCTCAATTTATGTACAAGTACCTCACAATTGTACCGAAGTACACCATTTCTGTTTTGTACTTTCCACCACTGCATGTTAATATTTAAGACCAAATATATCACACGCAATTATTCCGTTATATTAAAACACTACTAACGCTGTAGTGGAAACTCAGAATGCAAAGTTAACAGTTTAGTATAAAAAAGTCAAATCAATATATTATGCAATGTTATCGATACATGTTGTGTGAAGAGAGCGGATTACCTGAACACACAATATTAAACCGTTGCAGGTGCAGCTTCGGGACGCTTCTCGCTGGCAGGCAGGGGAAGAGGTTTTCCCTGAAGATCCCTCGGCCTGAAGCTGACATCTGGGCCAGTGAAAGACTTCCCCGCCCTGCGGCTCTCATCCTGCCGGCCTCTTGCAGGTGCTCCGTCCTGCTGAGGATCTGAGGATCAGATGAACCACGTGTCTATGCTTCGGGGAAGGGACGGGAGGGGACGGAAGGGGAGGAGAGGGGAGGACGGGAGGGGATGGGAGGGGAGGAGGGGGGGGCGCATTTCAAGAGGAGAAGAGAGACGGGAGAGAAGCAGAAAGTGATGCAAGAACAGGACTTGAGATTGTTTTTTAAGATGTTTGATGAAGTTTTATTTCATTTCTGTTTAAGAATGGGCAAGCTGCTCTCTGTGTGCCTGTGTGGTGTCACCATAAGGACTTTACCGGAATAACTGGAGCAAACTAAAGGTATGAAGTTGTGCGTGAACTGAATTTGTTCACGCACAACTTTTGTTTTCTTCTGGCAAACAATAATATACAGTTGCTAATCTGCTAAAATGTTAATTTAATAGTGTTTTAATGTTTAAAAGGTTTTGCTTTGGGTTGTAAGTAAAACAAATAGAAGCTATATCTCATAATGTCTTGAATTAAAACACATACTATGTATATGCAATGGTTAGTGAGTATATTGTTTCCACATTCAAGATAATAAGCTTTATTTGACAGGTCTGTTAGATTCTGTTAATTTCCTAAAAAATACCTCTATGTAATTCAATATTCAGGGTAGATAGGAATACAAATAATAATCAGTAATAACCTAAAATTGTAGGATAAATCCTCCAGAAAAGCTCCATTAAAACCCAAGTAAATACCACTTTATCATTTATTCTTGGGGACTATAAAACTATATTCTCCAAATACGTGGTCTGCTCGTTCTTTCATTAGTAATCGATCCTATTAGTAGGCACCAAAATTCCAATGACCTCAGAAAACTAAACAATTGGTAATTGGTAATAAGGTGTAGTTAGTCTCTAAGCATTGTTCAATGAACCCAGTTGACATTTTGACGCCACAGTCAGCTGCACCCTGGTTTCCTAGTGATGCTGCTCCTGAGGGAGAGCAGCTGATTGGCTCGCTGAGCCTCGGAGCTTCAGGCGCGACTGCCTGTATGTGTTTGTGTGCGCGTGTTTTTGTTAATGACCCATCAATTAGTCACACAATGGTAACAGTCGCCTAATCACCTCGCCCCGTGTCTGCTCTGCACGGGTTGAAAGGCCATCCCGGCCCTGAGTGTTTCTTCGGGGTGGGCCCTTCACAGGTCCATCACATCACGTCACATCAACCATGCAGCATCAGTATCACCCAGCCTCTCTTTGCTGCTGCTTCAATCGCCACGGCAACTGGCTGCCGTGTGACAGCCCAGGCGAGGGAGCGTGGCGGACAGCGCTCCCCCCTCGTCCCCTGAAGATAATCTGCCACACGCACCGTTAACACTCCCACACAGCAACTCTCTTTCGCTGCACCCACGCTCAGACACCGGCAGTCCCAGAGACCCGATGACAAGAGTAACACAAGTGCTCCCCCTCACCTGCAGGTCTGGAGATGACGGGCCACGTGGCTGAAAGAGATCGGTCGCCACACAGTCCGTCAGTGAAGACCACCTTGGAGGATGAGATGGATAAAGCCGAGAGTATTCGCAGCAGGTGAGGGCAGCTGTTAGTTTTGTGTGAGACAAGTAAAAAAAAGAGAAGATAAAAGCTCACATGTGTGGTTGTATGTGTTTTCACTCCCAGGGTTCCGTCCGTGTGTGACGACACGTCATCAGAGCTACAAAGAGTTGCTGCTCTCGACCCTGATGGACGCAATTCCAGAAATTCACTTCAAAGGAACGGAGCCATTTCAAGGTAAAGTCACTGGAAAGAAAAGTGAACGATCAGAAAAGATGATTCATTCTTGTGCAGGTTGTCTGGCATTTTAAGAATTTTTTAAGGTCACACGCTGGATAAAAGTAAACATATTGGACATACTGAATTCAAGCTCACAGGGACCTTGATGAACAAAATGTCATGTAAAAAGTTAAAACATTCTCCCAAACCATGTGTTCTACAGCTGACCTCCTACATTTTATGTAGAACTGCAAATCGCCTTGGATAAAAGCATCACCTCAAAAATATTTAATGTAATCCAAAACATAAATGCTGCTTTTATTTTCATGTAAAATTCTTTCAAATGTTAAGAGAGCATGTGAACATGTGTGTTGTGTGCGTATACGTGTGTGTGTGTGTCTCAGACTGGTGTGCCTGGTGGTGAGACTGAGGGAATGGGCACACAGGAGCCTGCTGGAGGAGGAGGAGCGGCCAGACTCTTTCCTGGAGCGCTTCCGGGGCCCCGAGCTGCGAATGGCCCCCAGCCGCATCAGCAACACACAACCAGATGCCAATGGCAACGAGGCCAAAGGGATTTTTAGGTACATCCGCCTGCCTGTCACCCTGAAACGTTATTGTGCGCTTTACACATGCACTTTAAGCGCTGACAGAACAAAAGAAAAGAAACATCGGATAAATCAGAGGGTAAAAATGAAGCCTCAATGTCCTTTCGCTCAAATGAATGAGATGTCGATTCAAATCTGTGATATTTTATGTTGCTTTGCATGTGATTGCAATAAACTGTAGTGTTTCAAATAGTTATACTAAGGACAATAAGATGGAAAGAATATTAGAAACACATTAGTAGCACAGTACTGAAACAACACCTGTTAAAAACAATATCCTGCAGAGGCGTTGTATTGCAGTGCTTTACATCTGCTTCCGTTTTTCAGTGTATCCTTGTTGTAATAAGTAAGTTACTAAGTAACTAAGTTGTAATGAAGCTGCTAATGACTCTATAAGAAGTCTGACTGTATTTGCAAATGTCTTCATGCTTTCAGGAAAAAGTGGGACTTGTTTGTGGTGTCCCCAGCCGACGACGCGTACTACCGCTGGTTATCTGTAATCGCCATAGCGGTGCTCTACAACTGGTTCCTTGTTGTAGCGAGGTGATGACACCACGACCGGTACCTGCTGCTGGTAGACGTGCTCGATGAATGTTCTGCGGTGAAACGATTTTTATGTTTTTCTATTGACAGGGCGTGCTTTGAAAAATTGCAGGTGAGCAATTACATCTGCTGGCTGGTGTTGGACTACCTCTCTGACTGTGTGTACATCATTGACACGTGCGTCCGGCTTCGCACAGGTAACCTGTTAGAAAGTGCAAAACAACAGCATTGGTTTGGAGTTGGCTCCCTCTGTTTGCTTTCCTCCAACTCCCCCAGGACATATTCTGGCTCTTTAATTGCTAAATGCTCCACCCGGTAGTCCTTATTAACTGTGTCTGTCCTGTCCGCTCTAAATATTATGAGAACTTTCACAGAAATCAGCAGCCCCATAGCTGAAAACTTAAAAACAATGAGCTGCAAGGTGCTAAGTGGGGTGGGATTGCGTCCCGGCTGAGTTTGAGTTCTGTTCTTCTTGTCTCAGGGTTCTTGGAACAAGGTTTGCTGGTGAAGGACCATGCCAAGCTCAGAGACAGCTACGTCCGTACGCTCCAGTTCAAGCTGGACGTGGTGTCCATCCTGCCCACGGACCTGGCGTACATCTCCACCGGCATCCACACGCCGCAGCTCAGGTTCAACCGTCTGCTTCGATTCCCGCGCATGTTTGAGTTCTTCGACCGCACCGAGACGCGCACCAACTACCCCAACATCTTCCGCATCGGCAACTTGGTGCTTTACATCCTGGTCATCATTCACTGGAACGCCTGCATATACTACGCCATATCCGGTTCGTTGGGATTCGGCTCGGACACCTGGGTGTTCCCCAACACCTCCAACATCTCCTTGACTCGGAGTTACGTGTACTGCCTGTACTGGTCGACTCTCACGCTCACCACCATTGGAGAGATGCCTGCGCCTGTGCGGGACGAGGAGTACCTATTCGTGGTCTTTGACTTTCTCGTTGGGGTGCTTATCTTTGCCACAATCGTGGGAAACGTTGGATCCATGATTGCCAACATGAATGCCACCCGCGCCGAGTTCCAAGCCCGGATTGACGCCATCAAGCACTACATGCACTTCCGCAAGGTCAACAAGGAGCTGGAGACACGCGTGATCAAATGGTTCGACTACCTCTGGACCAACAAGAAAGCAGTCGACGAGAAGGAGGTGCTGAAGAATTTGCCAAACAAACTGCGGGCTGAGATTGCAATCAATGTCCACCTGGAGACCCTGAAGAAAGTACGCATTTTTCAAGACTGTGAGGCAGGCCTGCTGGTGGAACTCGTGCTCAAGCTTCGCCCCCAGGTCTTCAGTCCGGGGGACTACATCTGCAGAAAGGGGGACATAGGGAAGGAGATGTACATCATCAAAGAGGGGAAGCTGGCCGTGGTGGCTGATGACGGGCTCACTCAGTACGCTCTCCTCACCGCCGGCAGCTGCTTCGGGGAAATCAGCATCCTGAACATAAAGGGCAGCAAAATGGGAAACCGTCGGACAGCCAACATCCGCAGCTTGGGTTACTCCGATCTCTTCTGCCTCTCTAAGGACGACTTGATGGAAGCAGTGACCGAGTATCCCAACGCCAAGACCGTGCTGGAGAAGAGGGGCCGCGAGATCCTGATGAAGGAGGGCCTGCTCGATGAGCACACGGAGACGGGCGGGCTGCAGAAGGAGGACACGGAGGAGAAGGTGGAGAGGCTGGAGTCCTCTCTGGACACCCTCCAGACCCGCTTCGCCCGCCTCCTCAGCGAGTACAAACACACACAGCAACGACTGAAGCAGCGCATCACGCTGCTCGAGCGGCAACAAAACCCAACGGACTGCGGCGTGGACGCAAGCGACGGCGCGGCGTCAGACGCAGAGACCTCTAATGGTCCCCTTGCCTGCGCAGATGGATCACCACGACGGAGTAATGGGCAAATGGAAGACAAGGGGAGCCCGGCAAAAATGTCCCGCTGAGGAGAGTTGATTGTTTCCCTCATGGTGAAAGTGTTTAGCTGAGTGTAAAGAGATGCCTGCATAGCAGTAAGACAAAAATTGGGAAACACTGCTACGCCAAAGCAGTCTTTGAGTTCTTGTCTGTAACAGAATGAGTGAATTGAATCTGTGGAAATGGTGTCTTTAAAGGTGCATCCAAGATGCCCAGATCGAGGTAATTCTGGGAATTGAGAACACAGTACATTAAAAACCTGCAAATGGAGCTCAAATGTTACTTTTTCAAGATTCCCCCTCTAAAAATCTCTAGAAATTGTGGGCTAATCTAGTTTTTAGGTCACTAGTAAACATCTTGTGTTCGGTTGCATCAGCAGAGGGATTCAGTTCTCCCTGCATGTTGTATGTTATGCTCCGGCCCCGAACACCTCGGCGTCTGTTGCTGCTCCTCCTGGGGAGAGAGTCCAAGGAGAGATGGTGGAAGGTGATTTGCTGAGTTCACACACACAAACACAATTATTTTCCAGTGTCCTTATGTTCTGTATGTTCCAGGTTAGATCTGAATCCTTCTGCTCTGCTCATTGTCATAGCAACCTCTTGAAATTGTATTTCTCGCTTTGGCTGTTTGGCTGAAAAGCATTTGCAGAGTGAAGGGGTCTTTGTTTTGCACGCCTTATATTACAATGAGTGAGCTGCTTTGTCCGCGTTTGGATTTGGTTTCTTCCCATTTCTGTCGTGTAGACTCTGTCAGCAGCAAGCAACTGGGGACTTTCCAGTCATTCAGCCCTGTGCATTCCAGGATGCAACTCAACCAAACGAGTGGTGCCGATAAGCACAGCTGGAACAAAGCTTGTCCCACAGAGCGGGCTGTAACGAAGGGGCCGGAGGTAATGAGTGCATATCGCATGCAGCCCCTGAAGGAGCTACGGACTAATTTAATCCAGTTACTTGCCGTTGGCTTGTTCAAACAGAGATGAATGTGGGCGGAGTCTCTACATCACACAATAAACTAATGACAGGTAAGTACACCTTTCAGCAGGCTCAAATGTCAAACCTGTTTTGTGAGCAGTTGTTGAAGATCTTGGCCTAAATATGACCCTAACATGCGTTAGTGTGGTTTTGGAGAATTAAAAATAAGTTTATATATGAGCCACATTTTTGTTGATTTAAGATTATAAATATTAGCAGTATTTCAGTTAATATATTTCAATGAATTAGTTTCATGGTTGAAATGTTGTCATTTCATTTGTCTAAAGTAAATCAGTTTCATTTTGCCAACCGTTGTCCCATAACGCAATGGAAGGTGCCTTTGTGACATTTTGACCCTTTAAGCACAAAAGGACATTAAATATGGTTATGGATTATAAGTGTATGTTACCAAGAATCTGTCTGCCTAAAATAATATCCTCATATAAATGAAAAGCAAAAATGAGGTGAAATAGTTTTGCTATAAAAGCTGCATTGATTAGTTTACAAAATACCTCATCATTGTTTCATCATTGTTTAATATATATTACCAGTTGGCTGTACAAATAGCAAACGATGGGGATTTAAAAGTAAAGCAACGGGCCGAGTTAATCCACAAAAACATGTTATCAGAATTCTAAAAAAGATGGAATCCGATGCTTTATTTTATGAAGGTAGGTTTGTCAGCAGCTGATCAGTTCAAGGGGAGTCGGTCAGCAGTGCTAAATATGTCCAGTAATGACTTTTTTTCTTTTTAAACTGTTTATATTATTAGGTGGTAATGGAGTCAGTCAGTCATTTAAATTGAAAGCACCACTAAAAGTCAAAGTTGGAACAATGTTGGTTATATTCCGTTAAATATTGCTTAATTTGTCTTTCACTTAACATTGCTTAAAAGGAGGAGCCGCATAGTTAGAAATAAGTCATTTATATTAAAATCAGACTGACTGCCAGCTTTTATAGCCATTCGATCTCTCTCAAATGAATCTGAACAAACCCTGTCAACACAGACCTGATGAAGCAGATTAGCATAAATCTAAAGAGGTTTTCCACCTTGAGCACTTATTTCCTTGTGAATGTTAAATTGTATGTAGGGTTTATGTCCTAATGAGCAAAATGAGAAAAGAAAATCAAAACAATTTCAGCACAAAAATATCAACTCAGCTGTTGGTCATGTTGAGGAATTCACTGAAATAATCTGATTGACATTGTGTTCCATCAGCACATTCACTGCTGTCGACTCCATGAAGGTTGTTTGACAGGTGCAATGAACCCGTTGCTCCTTCTGTCTCCTGACACGCACACACGCCATGTGTAAAGGACAACTGCTGCAGTGTCAAAAGGCCTGAGACACTCCAGTGACTTAAAGTAAGACTAGAACAATATCTAAGCCGGAACTCATTTTACAAGAAAAAGTGAAAACGTGATCTACAAATATATATTTTTTTGAAAATGTTGATCAAGTGGTGAGAATTGTCAAAATGTAAAAGCAGAAAAGAAGACACGCCACATGTTTTTCTGAATAGAACAATATTGTTTACTAAAGTTTAACAGCTTACAAACTGCATTTGAAAATCAAAACAATATGTGCTGCTTATCATTTGTCGAGAACTTCTCCCGATCACTGGGATTCACTGGGCACGGAGTGAATAACTCTACTTTATCAGACAAAGTGTGACAGCAGAAGTAGGCCCCCCTCAGAGTAAACACATCGAAGCATTTTACTTTACTGTTTCGAGCTATGGGGCAATTATACAAACAGTGTGCGTCGAAGATATTTATAATCACTGTAGAAATTAGACCAAAGAAAACCGTATTTCTCCGGTAATCGCCGTGATTGAAAAAGAAGATAAAGAGGAGACAGTGCAGGGCTGCTCGTATGTGTCGTAGCTGGAAGACCGCAACATGCCGGCCTGTGGTCTGTGGACTGATTGGCTGATGGTTTCCACGGGGACAGCGGCGCTAGCGCATCCGCATGTGCAAGCTGTGCTTGGGTCCGTCCACTCGCTCCAACTTCTCAAAGTGTTTCCTAGCATTACGGATATTGATGAGAGTGGCTGCAGATGCTGAAAGACACGGACATGGATTTGTAGCATAGCTGTGCCCTTTCTTAACTGCGCACTCACAGGTGAGAAACGTGCAGCGCCACCACTTACGAATGGAGGGGTCCGACATGATGACCATCACATATGTGTTCGAGGTGAAGACGTCGATGAAGGCCGCAAAGTTGGAGTTCCTCACTTCCATGCTTTGGAATGAGGCTGCGAGTTTACTGGAATGCAATGAATAAATAAATAAATAAATAAATCAGAAACATTGTGAAAAGTGAGTCGGTGACGTGTCGGCCTGTTTCTGCAGAGTGAACTTACCTACAGCTGAGTTTGAACTGTTTGATAATGTTACTGATCTTCTCAAACCGGTGAGCATCGCGCTGCTCTTTGCACTGATAGTGGGAGATCACCTGGATTTACAAAAAAAAAAAAAAAAAAAAAAACACTTAGCTTGCTGGACCCAGATTTGCTGTCGGACACCAGAGGAAAAGGAAGTGGTTGCTCTCACCAGGAAGGTGGCTCTCTCAAACAGGAGAACTTCATCTGCTTCTATGATCTGCGCAAAATTTCTCAGGTTCGTTTCCAGCTGCTGGACGTTGGGGATGAGCTGGTACACAATGCTGGACCAGGCCTGCAAAGACAGTTACTGTGTCAACTGGTCGTCGTGGCGCAGGGGTTAGAGAAGGTGTGCTGGGAAGCACAAGGTTGTTGGTTCGATTCCAGGCTGCCCCATGTTCCACGTCGAAGTGTCCCTGAGCAAGACACCTAACCCCTAATTGCTCCCCAGGCAAAAATGTGAAAAAGCCATGGGTTTAAAGTGTAATGTAAGTCGCTTTGGATAAAAGCGTCTGCTAAATGACCTTTAATGTAATGTAACTCTTTTACCCTACAAGCAGTCAAGTGTCCCAACCTTATACAGGGTCTCGTCCCAGATGGAGGTCCTGAAGCAGGTGCAAGCCAGAGGTCTAGACAGTCTCTTCAGATCTTCTTCACGCTCCTTAAAGATCTGTTGAAACATTTATGACAGTCACATGATCAAATGAATAAAAAATAAGAAAAGAATAAATATGCCATCTGGGGTGGGGAAATTAGAGCACAATGTCAGGCAGTTGAGGAGTGTAATTAAAAATGTTCTGTTGTACTCAATTACCTCAACTATTCAAAAATGTATCCTCATACACACACACACACACACGAGCCCCAAACGTGCAAAAGTTGAAGACAACTATCCTAATTGTTAAGCTTACCAAATCTCTCTGGTCTTCTTGCACCAGATCCATTTTGTGAACGAGGCAGAAGACTTTGGCGTCGGGGGAGTTCTGCAGAATGGCCTCCAGACACGACTGGTAGTAGTGCATGTCTTTCTCCAGCTCGCGGCTCTCCACATCAAATATATAAATAAGCACCTCCACATTTCTAAAAATGTTGTCCCTCTGGCTGGTAAAGTAGTTCTCCATGAACGTGTCCTGTCTGTTGTGTGATGGAAGCACAGAGCAACATTACACAGAGGATTTCAGATTGCGGAAGACGGTCCAAAACGGGCATATAACAAAAAGGTGTACTTTACCCTCCACAGTCCCACAGGTTTAGAACCAGATTGCCAAGAAAGCGAACATGGGAGTGCTCCACGTCAACTACATTCAACAAAGGATGTCAATATTGTTTTATCAATGCCTACAAGAAATGGGGAACGCTGCAGCAATCATCATTTTAAAATTGTTCTTACTTGTAGCTCCGAGGCGGCGTGTGTCTCGAGCTATGTAATTAGCAAAGATGATCGATCTCATACTGGTCTTCCCAGACCCACTTTTTCCCATCAGTAACACCTGGAAGCACAAAGGAAACATATTCACTCATCACTGAAGATAAAGACTCAATCCTCCCCAATCCCTCCCCCCTTTACGGACTCACAGACTTTGAGACTCACTCCCGCTGACTCCATGAAGGTTTATTTCTGTCCCATCATCAAATCATTAAGTGTTTGAGGCTCTCTGGCAGACATTTTAAGCCCTTTCCGTAAGTCAGCTTTAGATGCTGAGTTAGCCCAAGTCATTGCAATGCGACGTTAGAAACGGAAAACAAGTGAAAGGTGGCGTAAAAAAAAAAAAAAAGGCACAGCTGTGTGCGGACTGTCATATAAAAGTGTATACATTTAAAATGTTGAGAATTAAAGATGGAGAAAAAATAAACACATTAAATCAGACAATGTTTATTAATTTAGTCATAAAATAATGTTTGATCATCGCAGCCATTCTGACAAAAACATTCAAATTAATTGAAATTACCTCTCATGAAAAATGAGCCTGAGAGACGTTCAAATCAGAGGGTAAAAAAAATGATATATACACACACAATACCCTGAAATAAATACCCTCAATTGTAAATCATATTTTTTGGCGTGGTCATAGTGGTGTGACATGTTGCAGCAATGTGCTGTCTCATACATATTTACAGAAGTCCTCATAGACTCTCACACAGGTTTCAGAGTTTAGGCCAAAGTCTTGTTTTCCTCCACTCCTACGGCCACTTGTGGAAGAATTAAGCGGAGTCTGCTCAAATAAAATAAGCAATGTTGGAACTTAATAGGATGTAACGATCATACATTTATCCTTTTACTTTAGAAGAAGATATCCGAGCATACCTCATATTTTAATAACTGAATTTGTTAATTTTGAGAGAGAAATACTGAATCTCATTACATTAATAGAATTAAACTTCAAGCAGAGATTAAAATTCAGCCTTGCTTAAGTGTGTGATCATTTAAAAAATAAAAAGATGATGAAGGATGAAAGGATGTTTTTGTGCAGAATAAAAGCGGGGACTTTCCTGCAATGTTGAAACAAGTCCAAAAGTAGATTTAACTTCTTAATTAAGTGTATTTTGGCACAAATTAATAGCAAAAACTTCAAATGAAGATGTGATCATACCTGATCAGAGCTATGGACATATTAAGCATTGGAAAACAGATAAAGCTCAATAATGAATACAGGTATCATGAAGGTACTCGAATAAAGTACAAACGCGTCGATGTTGTACCCAAGTATGGCACATAAGTAAATGTACTTTTGAGGAGTCGATAATTATCCCATATTTCACCTTTTTCTTCATGGCTGTGCTGGACATCCCCCTCGGCAGACACGAAGTGGAGTATTTCTCTGAGCTGCAAGTCGGATGACTTAATTCGGAGTTTTCGGCAGCTCTACTTCTGCTCTCCTTCGGCTGCAGAACAGAGACACAAATAGTTTCACCTCGCTGTCACTTAACGTTTAGCTCTAATGCAGCAGATCACACATTTACTATAGAGGACGTGTTTGAGCGATTAAAATCACGAACAAGTCAAACACGTGTAAACGGATATGCGCGTATTAGACATGGACTAATAGATACAACAGTTAAATAACTTTATTTAAACTCCTTTCTCTGTTCCGAATGAACATCTATGCTAATGCTAAGTTAGCCAGCACGACAGAACAGTCCATATATATATATGCAGGTGACGTTAGCTTAGCCGTGCTAAACGGCTTAGCTAACGTTGGGTAAGGAAAAACTCAGTATCGTTTACTTACCCAAACGGGGAAGAGCGGTTACTCAAATGCAAGCAATTTCCTACTACCAGTTTTTATTTGTCTTTAAGAGTACAGTTGTCCACATGATTTAATGGAAGCAGGTAGTAGTGAAGTCAAGATCAGCTGCTTCCTGTTTACGCCAAAGTCACATGATGCCCCGTTGGGTTTTGCCCGGAGTTTTGTCTCACAGACAGATGTTGCCCCATTAAAAGAGATCATGACAACCACTGATGCCAAGCACAAATGAGATAGTGACTTTTGAAGTTAAAGGCGGTTTAAATTCGGGTTATGAAATTAGATACAGCTGCATTGTTTTGAAAGCATCAAAGGTCAGATGGCCTCACACGAATAACACAGGGCCAATAATCTAAAGGGGGATATTCAATATCCTTGTAAAGCTGACCTATTTTCATTTAACAATATTAATATGTGTACTACCATGTTCACAATCCAACAAAACAGATCAATAGTTTTGTAAAACCTCTATGTAGATTCATATTTTGTGTTTGACAATAATGATTTAAAAATGATTTTAATGTAACTCATCGACAAGTAAATAATAAACTATACATAGCACTCTAAATAGCAATTAAAATTGGTTCTCTAAACAAGACAACTACTATATGTTTGTATGTCTAATTGTTGAAAAGCCTTTGGTAAAAGCTCCTGTATGAATTGGCAGAACTCGGTTTATGATCTGCATGAAGTTGAAATATGAACCGGTGGGTCAACTTTTGCAGAGGAAAGGCACATAGACACCGTATTTAGATCATGTAAGGTGCTCCTTCTGCTGGCCCCTCAAGATTTATAATAATAATTATTATTATTATTTCATTTTCACCCTATGCTTAAGTTGTTGTCTTAATGGACAGTCACAGTGACAAACCGACAACAAAAAGTGAAGGAAGAAGAAAACAACCCCAATGCCGTGAAGTTACTGCTGCAGCTCCTGACAATAGCCACTAGATGGCAGAAAACAGACACGGCGTCATGACGTCACATCCGGGCTAGCCTCTTAGCTCATGTGTAAATGAGTGCAATTTGCTCCTAGTCTGCATTTAGATCTATAGACTGAGCACTCTCAGTGTGGTGGTGCTATACTGCATAGCTTGGTTACATATAAGGAGCGCAGTGTTGTTTGACCAATGGTCTGACAAAGGAAATAGACTAAATATTGTTGTGACATTGTTCAAATGAAGAGAAGCAAAATTCTGTCACAGAAATGGCTGTTTTAAAGCCCAATTGATGGAATGTTTGACTGATTCATCTGCATAAAGTGGTGAAGAACATATTGGAAAAATGATTTGAAACAAGGACCTCCTCATGAAGCAAACTATGATTACCAAGAGGGACACAGCAGCAACAGACAAAGGGCAAAGACAGACAGACAGACAGCAGCTGATTTAGACCACTTGTCTTCTTTGAGTTGATGTGCCACTCGACACAAACCTGAATAACTTATTTATATATTTTATGATTACATCACACATCTCTATCAAGGTCCTTATATTTCTTTTTGTTGCACTGAATTTCCCCCACACGCTTAGCACTAGGTGTACTTTCAGTCCGAGCCTTTATGTCTGGTTCTTTCTAATTTGATGGCATATATTTTCTTAAAATATTGATATCTACATCATGTTGATGAATTAGCCCCATTGTCTCCTGTAGCCTTTCTGCCATGTATATAAAATATGTTTCATTTTATCTTCAGAATGGACATTCCATAAAAGATCAAAAAAAAAGTATACAGAAGTAATAAAAATAAGAGATAAAAGTATTATAAAATTTTATTGTTTAATTACTGTATGTACTCTGCATACTGTAACCCCTTCCCAAATGATCTGTTAATATGCTTATGACCACCAGACAAATCCGGTATCGCCTTGAAATATTCCACAGAAATAAAATACAACAAATCTAAACAAGGAGTCAACGGTAAGCGGGAAAGTCTTTCACACTCTGAAATCAAGAAGAGAAAATGCATATACGTTTTCTGCAATCATGCATGTATGGAGATGAGATAAATTGTAATTCTATACTCCAAAACCTTCAACCTACTCCCCATAACGATATGAAATTGGTTTGTCAATACAGAATAATAACTGCCAATGCTCAACCTTTTTTTGCGAAATGCATGAAATTCTCAAGTATACATATCAAACTATGTTACATTACACCTTCCTTATATGTAAATATGTATATTTAAGAAAGATATACATTTTCAATATCCGGCACCTCACTTAGTTTACAGAGTTGAAAAGGTTATTAACACAACCAACCAGGGCCAAAACAATAACAACAGTAGCTCCGCTATAAAGACACACGAGATGTAAAGAGGGGAAAAGATATGATGTGAATAAAAGTTGTTTGGGAGTAATATTCGAGTAGCTGGGAAGGTTCGTCCCAGTGCACTGTAGTCCTCCTTCACATTTGATCTCGGAGTTTGGCGAGCCTTTGAGAAAGTTCATCCTTTGGACAAGTGAGAGCAAAGAGCGGCATTGGTGAGTAAGATGAAGATGAGAGAAGAATCGCAGTTATTTGTCAAAGAGAGTTGTTTACGGAGAACCAATTCTTTTAAAAGTTGTTTGCAAATCCAGGATTTTTAATGTCATCGTTTGACTTTGTTTACTTCTACTGTAGTCACATTTCCTACGCCTGTTCCGTTTACACAGGTGCCAACCATCCAGTTTATATTTTTTTAATGTATATTTACAATTTATCTTTGTCGAATGTTGAAAAGTGTTAACACTAAATGCGTGCATGTGTACCTGCTCTGCAGAGGCCACGCTGGTACCCACGGATCCGGTCTGTCCCTGAGGGAGCTCCATGTTCAGGTCCAATCTAGACATTACGCACACATCACAACATGCAAACCTTATTTTTAGATTTCAAACACAATGTCTTGTATCTGAAATAACAACCACTATTTACACTTCAATGTAAGAGTGTATATCTTACATATGTGTATGTGATTGAACCTCATTTCATGAAAAATGGTGAGAGAATAAAAAAAAATTAAAAGGTTACCCTGCTTCATCTGCCAGTTCATGCATCAATGAGTCCACTTGATTCTGAAAAGACCGATGAGATTTACAGTGAAGGCGTTTGTCTTGAGCAAACAACAAGAAAGAATGTGAGAGTAGAGAAATGTACCTGTGGCGTAGTGAGTGTTGTTGTGCTGCTCATGGTGTCCTCCATATGGGCTGTCTGAACATCCAGAGTTTCAAATTGGCGCTCAAATTTGTCCATGAGGCCTGAGATCTGAAAACGGGGATTGAGACACTTGTTTTAGTGCAGGTTTGTTTCCAACAAATAGCTAAAGGGAAATATGGAAGTAAATATTTTTTCATATTTAAATTACTCCCTACCTTTTCCAGATTCATAGATTTCAAAGTGGCATCCATGCCTTTCACCACTCCAGCCATAGATTTTGTGACCTGAAAAATAAATCAGCATCACTAAAATGACGAGCCTGAAATGCAAATCTTTAACGCGTAGCTGATTTCAAACTCAACAGCAGTTCGGAGTGACCCAGATTAAAATGTACCTGGTTCATTGTGACTGCAGTTTGGACCCTTGCTGCCACTGCATCTATCCGGGCACTCATCCTCAAGAAGTTCACCGACTGGTTCTTCTGTCGGATGGCGTTCTCCGCGTGGATTCTTGCCACTTCCATATTCCCCTTCTGGATGGCCTGGGGACGGGCAAGAAAATAGGGCGGTAAAGTGAAAACACATAACCAAAGGCCGTGGAAGTTATCGTGGTGAACTGCTTCACCGCGCCCACTTACCTTCTTAATTTTAGCCTTCTCAGTTTTTTCCTCTTTGTCACATTTCTTGGAGTTTCTTTGGAGTTCTTTGGCAGCGAACTTTAAATTAAAGAGCTGTTCTGTGACACAAGGTTAAGGAAGCACCAAGTCCAAACAAACACAACAAGCGACCTCTAAAAAAACTTGGTTTGAATAATTGCAAAAGAAAGTAATGGAAGGTCGTTGCATTCATGTATTACGATTTTATATGTAATAAACGAGTATGTATTTGGTGTTTATTTTAGTTTCCTGTGACTTTATTAGATTTGATTGGTTAACTTTATCTTTAACTTTTATCAAATGTCGGCTGTTGGATGTCCAGCCATTTGTAGTGAAGCATTCGAGGCCTTCAAATCCACTTTCGTCCTATTTTACGAAGTCTGGAAATAAATAACGTTATGAAATGTTCAGGTTAGGCAATAACTAAGTAAGTCGTGTGTTTTTAGTCGATATCTCACGTATTTGGCGATGTTTCGGAGGACTGTCAGACATTCGGCTCACCGTCATGTTGTTATGTTCGCTCTTGTATCCCCACAATACACCGCGCTCTAACGTCCCGTTCGAGTCGCCGTTTTAAAAGGATACTTTCCATTGCCGACATCTTGAGGCGATTTTGACCGATTCCAACAAGTACACGATGAAATAACAACCGTCAGTTGGGTAAGAAAAGCCAAACGTATCAGTGAAACTTCAGGCTTTCGGTCTTCGGTCTCGTCGCGTCGCTTCGCCTTCTTCCGCACTTCCTGGTGTCTCACCAAAATATGAACGACGTCATCGTCACGTGGTGTTGGTATTCCAGTTGACGTCACGGGAGGTGACTACCTACCCCTCCTCCTGGCAAAATGTGAATGGAAAATAATATGGAAAACTTTAATGTTAAAAGGTGACACGTTTAACATTCACTCGCAGCTTACGCGTCGGGGGATATTTCGCGAGGGAAGACCGGGTGATTAGCGGGGCTTAGTTTGGCGATTTGGTGATTAGATGAACGGCGAGGATCACGGCGGGGAGAGACGATGACTCACCCCCGTTTGATGTGACGTTCACCCCCGCAACCGCTCGGCAGTGCGGCGACACGCCGGTAGCTCAGCTCAGACACGGCGGCGTGTGCTCCCTCGGTACAGGACAAACTTCATGTATTAGTTACGATCAGTTCGGTTCTCCCCAACACGGCCTGCGTAGCTCGTATAAAACTTGCGGCGGCCACCTGCTGGCGTCAGACGCAAAGACCCCGGGTCGTGATTTACCGTAAGTGTCGTGACGCCTGATTGCCATGGAAACAGTGCCCCTGCGCTGAAAGGAAGCTGTCACTGTTAACTTCGGCATCAACCTTTCTAAAGGGTCGGGTAAAACCTGTTGGATATCTCAGTAGTTTCATTGTCTTGCGTGTCTGCTCTGCTTCTACTTTCCATTTCAATTTGATCACAAATCAGGTGAGTTTTTAAAACCGTGCGTCTGTATTATTGTGCCTTGGTATTAAAAAACGCAGCAGATGTTACTGTTCTTTACTCCAGTGCATCACCCCAAATGTAAGCCGGTTTGACTTGTGCATCTATGTCTTTAAAACGAGTAAGAAGGCACCTCGAAATACAAATGCTGGGCTCATTTTAATATGTGATATGAGGATTTAGTTAGTTATCTAACTAGTGGGCAATATTTGAGTTTAAACATCAAATGAACAAAAGTAGGTGTTGCAAAATACCACCAGACCACAATCATTTATAGGTTGAATAATATAGCCTGTAAAGGGATATGATCCATTCACGGGCTTGCTAATAATATACTTTATGACTTTCCCAACCCTTAACGCCTCCCTAAGTGGTGCATTTTGTGTCGTTTATTGTGCGCAGGGAGATAATCCAGCAGTGATGTTTCATTCAGGGGCTGCATGACTCATATAGTCTTATCTATAAAGAAGCCAAGTGGTAGAGGAGCAGTGCTGCTGCAGGACCGAGCTGATGTAGCCCGTGAGATTCACTAGAGGATGCTGTGGGCCAGCGTTCCCTGTGTTCCCACAGACTTTATTCACACTGCTGACCGTTTAATGCACTAAAAACATCACAACACCACAGCGGGAGTGAAAACAGGAGAGGTTGGTTGTGTTTTCACTGGAAAACACATTGTATTAAATATCCATATTAAACTTTGGGTGCATTGACCTTAATTTATTAAATTCAACAGTTTTGCTGTCCTACATCTGGATTCAAAAGAACAATACATTAGAAATAAACAATGTATGCAATAAATGGTCAATAATCTCTAATTACTACACAGTTATGGAACTAGTATGAATTTCTGATTAAGTAAAGATATTTAGAGATGAAAAATGATTATAAAATAGTCTTAAGTACCATTGGAAGTTTGTGCATCTTCACATCTTCTGTCTTGAACTCGAAGATAAAATGTTCTGTTCTATATCTTTTTTTGTGAATAGGAGTGGCAGAGTAGATCAGTAAAATGTCCAAACATCTCGTGAAAAATGTGCAAATCTCTTTTGAACATTGAAAAATGTAGTACTTAAAAGAAGTACTTTATAAAGAGTACGGTATTCATTTCATGAGTTAAAGGTGATGATGACATTGTCGATATTTCAAACCACTGTGAGAATCCTTATTAACTGTAATGCTGTCATAAAGGTAGATGAAGTTGAAATACCTTTAAAGCCGTCTAGCAATGGGATCAACATTAGCCTCAGTAGGGAGTGAGTCAGTGTACATTAATGATGACGTGCCCCATTGTCATTCTGACAGCAGCAATAAGCACAACCCTGTTTAATGGCATCATTAAGTGGCCTATTGTGCAACCACAGGGTCACATACCTTTAAGGTATGACACACTTACATACAGCGCTCTTACTTCAGGAGGAGAGCTCCTACATACAGGCACAATATAAAAAGACTGTCCAGACTCTCCATTATACATTCATTTTTTTATAGAGATGATGAATTTGGATGGATGGATGTAAAGAAGATGCTGGGATGATATACAGACAACGTTATAAGGTTTTCTGCATCATTTCCGTGCATTGTCTTTTTAAAAAGGCTTGTTGCACAATGTGTGATGTGATATGTCCGACCTCTGTTTCCTAGGTGATGGTGATGGAACTTCAAGCGGAGAAGAGGTTCCACAACTTGACCCTTGAGCAAATTCAAGCTCTGGACGAGGTCTTGACTGAGGTCATCCCCATCCACGGACGAGGAAACTTTCCCACCCTGCAGGTGAGAGCGAAAGATATCATTCGTGTGGTGAGGGATCGGCTGATTGAAAGGAGCATCCAGGTTAAAGATATACGGCTAAATGGCGCGACTGCCAGCCACGTTCTGGTGAGAGACAACTGCATGGGCTATAGAGACCTAGACATCATTTTTGGAGTGGAGCTGCCCAGGCAGGAAGACCTTCAGGTGATAAAGGAGGTGGTTCTGAGCAGCCTACGAGACCTCCTCCCTTGTGGGGTTAACCGGCGGAAGATCACCTCCATGACCATGAAGGAGGCCTACGTGCAAAAGATGGTGAAAGTCTTCAATGAGCATGACAGATGGAGCCTCATCTCGCTTTCTAACAACAGAGCTAAAACCGTGGGGCTCCGATTCATCAGCTCCCTTCGAAGGCAGTTTGAGTTCAGCGTGGACTCCTTCCAGATAATACTGGACCGTATGCTGGAGTCTTACTGGGAGACCGAACGGAGGCAGGGAGGAAAGCCGTCATTGAATGCTGGGGATTTGTCTAAAAGAGACAATGAGCAGGAAAAAAAAGCCATGCCAAGCATTCCTCAGGGTGCTGAAGCCGCTGTGGAAAAAGACTCTGGCGGCGAAGGTCCACTGTCGATTGAAGGAGCTTCTGTGCTTGAGAAAAATCGTCCACGTGCCATGGTTGAGCACGTGGATGGAAAGCAAAAGGCACAAGCGCCGTTAGAACACGAGGGCATCGACGTGCAGCAGGAGGAAGTGGACATCACAGAGGGCCTTCATGCAGAGAACGCCATTGTGTTTGAGCTATGTGAAGGCAACGGAGAAGAGAAAGGACTGTTCCACAGTGATTATCCTGCACTCTCATCTCCTGAAGCTTTACTAACAGATGTCACAGGTCCGCTGATGCCACATGGATGTTTGAAGCCACAGAGCAATGAACAGCTGTCTGGAAAAGGACCGGAAAAGGCCGCTCCACCGGAAAACCTGCATTGTGCAGAGACGGCTCAGTTCAAAGTCGACTCCGTGAACTGCAGCGCTGAAACTACGGCAAGCTCCGAAGATTCACTACATGACTATTCCTTTCCTCCGCCGGCTAAGAAAACTTGCAGCACATCACAGGGCGTCCTACCGGACTTTTGCCCTTCACCAAAACTACAAAGGAAAATGTCGAGGAAGCTGATCGTTAAGCCTGAGAAATGGTCTTTACTGACTGATTTGTCAGATCTCACAACACAGCTGTTTCCGCCCATAGATATACCCAAACCCCTTCAGCCTCCCTCAATGGACAACGCTCAAGTTCAGGCCTCACATGTCCCGGCCTCCAAGCCACAGACCTTTGACGCCCTTTCAGCCGGCACACTTTGTGGCTCCAAGGAAACCGCGGAACAAACCGTGAGGCCGAAACACTCGAAGAAGCCCCCCGACTCCCAAACGCAAAGCTGCGCACGTGCAGCGGACGCTCCGATCAACGAGCAACCGCCGCAGCAGGCCGCCGCGGCGAGCTCCTGGGCCGGGGCCGCGGGGGAGCCCGCCATCACCGTCGAAGCCGAGTGCATGCACGGGGACTTCGAACAGGCGATGGACCACCTCCGCCGCCGCCTCATCGCCACGCGCAGCCCGGAGGAGATCCGGGGCGGCGGCCTGCTGAAGTACAGCGACCTGCTGGTGAGGAACTTCAGACCGGCCAGCGAGACCGAGATCAAGTCCTTGGAGCGGTACATGTGCTCCCGCTTCTTCATCGACTTCCCCGACGTGAGCGAGCAGCAGCGCAAGGTCGAGGCCTACCTGAGGTGCCACTTCGTCGGCAACGAGGAGACCAGCAAGTACGACTACCTGATGACCCTGCGGCGCGTGATAGACGAGAGCACGGTGTGCTTGATGGGACACGAGAGGAGGCAGACGCTCAACATGATCACGGTCCTGGCTCTGAGGGTGCTGGGCGAGCAGAACGCCATCCCCAACACGGCCAACGTCACCTGCTTCTATCAGCCGGCGGCGTACGTGACGGAGCCCATCTACAGCAGCTACTTTGTCGCCCAGGCCCAGCCCCCGCTGGTCTACCACCCGTACCCGCTCCACGTCCACGTGCACACCGGCCTGGTGTAGCCGCGGTGACGTGGCCACGGATGGTAGGTTTTAAAAGAAACAACACGGCGCGTTGTTGTTGTTGTTGGTTGCTTGGCCCCCCCACAATCCCCCCGCCTGCTTGCCTGACAGGAGAGATCATAAAAAAAGGCCTGAACTGGAAAGGGAAGGCAATTAACGCATGTAACCCTTTCAAAATGAACACTTTTCGGGGAGGAAAGAAGTGAGCCCTGCTTGTCCCGACAGCGTTTGAGTGGATGGCGGTTTCAGCTCGGCTTCGGCTCGACACTGCCTACATCCCGTGTTGAGGAGGATGTTGTCATGGGACGATTCTCCAAAGGCTTCAAGATACACGTCTCCAACGTGATAACGTCCCGTTGGCAGAGTAAGTGATTTAGGTGGGTTAAATACATGATGACTTGTCGATGTTTCTGAGGCTTTAGAAACCTCATATAGCTGTTTGGTGAACCATCAGTCTCTGTGGAGTAAATTCTAGCACTTGAGCATATCTTTGCATTCACTGTATAGATGGAAGCTTCAGAGAGGACATTTTCTGTGGTGTGTCCGTGTTGACGTGAGTTTTATATTTGTGAAAGTAAACCACCTAATTCAAAGGTAGAAGAAGGAGATCCGAGTAGGTTCCATTAGGGACTGTATCAAAAGGAGCGTGGTGGTGACGTGAGGCTTACCCTCTTTATTTATTGAAGACTGCCATCTTCACCTGGACGGTGGCCGGGCATCGTGTGCAAACAACACACCAACTGTCTACAGTTTGACAGAGTTTAATTTAAATGTTCAAGTGTTTAGTTGTGCTTTTGCATTGTAACATTTAGGAATAGTGTGAGAGGTTACAAATGTGCTGTGATCTCATCCCTTAATTCACTTGTCTTTGATTCTCATCTGAAATGCATCACAAGGATTTACTGATGGTATTATGAGGGGTGTCGTGGCTTTTTTTTTTCACCTGCAAACAAAGAGTTGAATTCAGTTTTACCCAAAGTGCAACAGGCCGAGTCGTCTTTCTGCGTGTTCCACATGTTAGTTTGTTTGTTGTAGTGGATCTAGAGAATGCAAAAATGTTGCTGCACATTTCAATTATTCACTGCATCCAGCAGGTTTTGCACTCGGTCCCTGTGTGCTTGTTCACTGTCTGTGCACAGCTACAGTACATGTACTCATATATATATTCATGAGAAGAGACGTAAGCACCGGGCAGGATATCTGAGCTGTTCTGAAGCACAATGTAAATGCAATTAACTGTTGTTAAGTAATGATATTGTGAATCTGTAAACATCCAGTATGATAAAACTCATGTGTGCCGTTGCCCTCTGTAGCTTTGAGGAGATGCATCTATCTCGAGAGCAGTCGAGGAAATAAAATAGTCCTGTTGTATGTATTTGCTCAGATGGTTGCGTTGCAGTGCTAATAAATATAACACAAACTGCTCTTTGTCTTAGAAGCAGTTTTTTTCCCCTACAATTCCACATCTCCCACTAACGTGCTGATCCTCCTCAACACTAACATACTATAAAGATCTTCAAATGCACTTATTGTATGTCGCTTTGGATAAAAGCGTCAGCTAGATGACATGTAATGTCATTTAATATCCTGTTATATACAAGGAACATCAGCGTTCTCAAAAATAGAGAAAGCTTCAGCTTGTTGTTAGGCCGACAGAAAATTCCACTCACTTCATTTATACACACACACACATTTCATGCATTGATTCATTTTAAGTCCCATGACCCTCCAGCACCTCTGCGGTTAGTAGGTGTGGCAGAGCAAGCTGTGTCACACCTCAACCCTGATAGTTCCTAGCGTGACTCACCCCAGCTCTCCAAAGCAGTAATGCAGAAGTCTACGACGGTCTGTCCGAGTGGCAGAGCGCTGTATTGTTCTGAGAACTTCGGTGAATGCTTGTGACTATAAGAAGACTATAAAGAAGCTGCAGATGGCTCAGTTGAAGTGCTGGTTGTTGAAGCTTCAGGAATTAGGAAAGAGACCTCAATTAGCTACACGGAAGGAAAAAAAAAAACAAGAATTCATTTTAAGATCTTTTTTTGTTTTTTATTAAAAAAGAAAACATATACAACCAAATTATTGCGTATAAAAGACAGTCACGTAATCTCAATCCACCTAGAGTGGAATGTTATCGTATCAGTCATCAACTAATCTGACGCATCGAAGCGAGACTAAAAGCGATCTACTATATGAAAATAAGATTCCAAAATATGAATCGTAGTCTTCTCACACTCAACCAGAACCATTTCAAGACTTCAGTTAATGTTGATGCTCACAGCACCCCAGATGCTGATTTGATTATTTTATATCTCCGAGCACCAGATGCTTCAGCACCCCCCCCCCCCCACACACACACACACACATATTAAAAAAAGAAAAGAATAAGCAGAACCTCCTAGAGCTTTCTCTGATGTCGGCGACCTTGCAGAGTGATGACGAGGTGTGTTCGGATTAGAGCACCCAGTGTTGACTATTTAAGAGTCCACTTTTCCGGCTTCTCCCGACCGGACGCCGGCTCATTTGAAGCGACCACGCGAGCTTCGAAGTAAACCACGTTGCTGCGACAACAAAGGATCCAATTTGATGCAATTCCACAAGAAACACTCAACAATGAGGAATGACTCATTGAATGATTAAACGAAACCACGTGATTTTGATAGAAACAGCCATCAGTCCATGAGATAAAAAGAAACCATGCATAAGATTTCCAATTGATGCCTTCAGTGTCATCATACAGACATTGGTATAGATTTAGATATATTTCTGTTTTACTTACTCAAAATAAAATAAAAAACTGAATGTCTGCTGGCACAGTTTAAACATTCCCAGACCCGAAAAAAAAATAATTCTCGACTATCTTTATTACTCAGCTGCCACGTGGAGAAGATAAATGTGCAAATATTTCCTCTTTCTCACCACTAGTTAAAGTAACCTTAGTACAAGACATTGGAAAAATAAATACCTGTGGAAGAGAGGACGCCAGGGACACCTTGCATTTGCACAAGTGGAGAAAGTGTGATGGAAACCACCATGAATGGGTCCGATCCACCAGCACAACAGCAGAAATACAAACAATGCAGTGGCTGTTTTACCCCAGAAAACCACTTCTACTCTCAAGAAAAAAAGGGAGGAAAATCCCCCCACCAAAACAACTGAATCAAAGAGCCTAAAAACAGTCAACACCACAGAGAGGGAAGCGGGGGAGAGACATCCAACGTTCCCTAGACCATGGACATCAAGACGTGTGACACGGGCTGTAGGGCTATCGGGCTACTGACTGTTGTACTCACTGCAGTCACTTGGAGCCCTACTATTGCAAGTTGCTTGTGCCCAAACTGCACCGGAGCCGCACATATTGACTAAATCTGAGGGATTTAGCTCTGCAACAAACTAATAAGGCTTGTGGTTGTGAGGAAAGTACCAAAGAAGTGGACATCAGTGACCTTAACCGGCACTGCACGTGTCTCGTGGATGTTGTGACTCAACTAGTGGCGGCGAGCATGAAGAGTTTCGTTAAATTAATTAAAAAAAACACAGAACTAAAACACGAGCACCGTTTTTTGGCATCTCCGTATCTTTCTTTGGTGACTGGGGAGGGGAGGGGGGGGATATGAAAAGTCTCGGGAGAGACCAGAAGAGGAGGCGGAGGGGTTATAGTGTTTAGCACTAGACTTGACACTCACAGGAGGAGGGAGGAGGAGCGGCGCCGCTTCTCCAAAGCTCCTTCAGCGAGCAGTAAGGCCGAGGTGAGTTACTCCAGTGGGAGATTATCCGCGTTGAACAGTGGCTCCATCGACCGAGGAGGGGAAACCCCTCGGCAACACATTGTGAGCACCATCAGTTCTAGTCATAAGCAGTGTCAGATAAAAAAAAAAAAAAAACATATATATATTTTATATACACTTGTACAAAAAGAAAGAAAAAATCCCTGAAGTGTTACGCATGTTAAACGGTTTGTTTTTAAATTGAGGTTTTTAAAAAAGAGGGCCGTGGTGTCAGTGACCCCAGCCCATGAGGTGGCTGACACGGGCTTTCTCGGTCATGCGGCGTACCCGTCCTGAGCGGGACATGCCCAGGTTGAGGGGGTCCTCCTTCGACCCATGGCCATCGTCCTCCGACTCGTCCCTGTACAGAACTGTCCTGCGGCCCTGGTTGCGCGTGCTGACCCGCCGAGACTTGCACTGGCTTCCTCTCAGGCTGCCGGCGGCTGCTGATGCCGCTGCAGCTTCCGTCTGCATCCCGTCGACGTCGTCCTCTTCCTCGGGCTCCTCCTCTTCGGGTTCTTCCTCCTCTGGCTCCTCCTCCTCCTCCGGCTCTTCGTCTTCATCCCCGTCCTCCTTTTCCACCTCTCCCTCATCCTCGTCATGTCCTTCAACTACCGGTTGTTGTTGCTGCTGCTGCTGATCCTCTTCATCCTCATCTTCATCTTCACCTTCCTCGACCTCTTCTTCTTCCTCCTCCTCCTCCTCTTCCTCCTCCTCCTCCTCCTCCTCCTGGTCCTCCTCTACCAGTGGCTGCATTCGTGCTCTTTTAGGTCTCATCGTCTCATCGTCTTCTTCTTTGCGTCTCCTCTTCACCGAGGCTGCCACCTTACTTTTAGCCGAGTGATGTACCGACAGGCAGGGGGCTTTGCTGTAGTCGTGATCTCCCCCTTCCACGTACTTCTCCATCTCAGAATCAGAGCTGTTGTCGCTGTCCGACGAGGAGGAGGAGGAGGAGGAGGACGATGAGGTGGAGGACGAGGAGGAAGAGGAGCTGTTGGATCCGGATCCCGCCTCCTCGTCATCCTCCTCGTCGTCAGACTGCGGCGCCTCTGGTGGCACAAGTCGCTGTCTGGAGCCGTTGTTCACTGGAGCCGTTGGATGCATGTTTCGCTTGGTCCCTGCTGTGACAGGACAATGGTTCATTTCGGCAACTGAGCTGTAAAACGTGACGGCATTTAAATGTCAGAATGTATCGTCGGTCGTACCGGACTTCTTCACTGGAGTTACTTGGCTGCGGGTCCCGTGATGCGGCCCTCGGCTTCCACTCTCGCCGCTTGTCCCTGAACTTGGGGAAGAAGGCTGGAGGTCTTCCTCCTCTGCTACACTGCTGCTTGGATGAGCTACGGAAACAAAAGACAGATAATTACCGATCCATTTCTCCAACAATGCGTTACGCCTGATCTTCTGTTTTAACAGAAATACACAAAGCTCGCTACAATATGCTGAATTGGAAGTATCATCAAGATTCTGCACAACATTGGCACCTAAAATGAAGCCACGAAAGCGCAGTCTCACCTTTCTGTGATCTCTGGGAACGATTCTTCGTTGAGGTCTGGGATTTTTTTGGCTTCAACACCTTCCCCGGCTTGTGCTTCCCTTTTGGGCTGAACGTATGAAAACAGAGGGAAGCAATATACTTAACTTCATTAAATGACAGCAGGGTGTCACATCCATCAGCTTATATGTAATAAAGTGACGGTTTTCTAATAAGGAGTGTTGAGTGACCGGTTTGTGAATGAAGCGCAGCACCTGGGGGATGTACTGGCAGGCGGGGAGTTGCCACCGTTGTGCATTCGGTTTCGGTAACTGAGTCTCTGAAGAGCCCGCCGTTCGTTCTGAATGGCTGACTTGTGGTCAGAGATGATGGAGATGATGTTTTTTTCAAAGAAGGCCGACAAGCTGAGGGTCATCGTGTAGATCTAGACGTTAAAACAAGGAGGTCAGAGGGAATCTACCGGATTGCCACACGGGTGTAGTTGCTTTTTCAATCGCAGTGATGCTGCTTCACCTGGGATTTCTTGTTCGGCGTGTATGCTTTGGAGTTGCTGAAAATGAGGCGCACGTCTTTGGCAAACTCCATGGGGCTTTCATAATTGCCTGCTCCCAGCGTCTCTGACACTGTAGCCAGATCCATGGGAGTGTCAATGATGTTTCTATAGTCCTGTACAAAACAAGGTGGCGGACGAACATTAATAAGGGCGATTTTAATTTGACTGACGCTGTTACTTTTACACCCTGTGCACACATTGTTGACGTTTTTAAGAAGCCGCTTTACCGGGTATTCAAAGAGGTCAACTGCCTGTCTGAACGGCTCGGAATCTGGCGAGACGATCATTCGACGCAGCAGCTCTTTGCATTGACCTGCCCAGAGATTCACATCCAAAACCCCACCGCGCTTCTTGGAATTTGGGTCAGCTCCCTGGCAGACAGAAGATGAAATGAGACTGGAGCTACTGCAGGGGACTGATGTCTGCGGTGTTCCATGATGGATTGTTGTGGGACACTGGACTCCGGTCCCTCTTACCCAATGTCCTGAAGATGTCCCCGGAGTGTCAGAGTCCACATCCAACTCAACCTACAGAGGAACACATACAAATTCAAACAACTATTTACAGCACGTACAGTAACCTAATGAAAAATAATAATAATGGAATCCTCACCTCAGCTTCTCCTCCACTGCTAATCTCAGACCTCAGTTTACGATGCAGATCCAAGATGTCTGTGCAGCTCTGGTCGCTAAAGGAGATAGAGAGCTAAGGCATCAGACACGTGCGGAGGAGTATTAAATATTGTTACCCCAGAATCCTGGAGGTGGATGAACGGTTCGTCTTACCTGATGTAGTGTAGGAGAACATCAGTCACCACCTTAGCCGATGCTACAATGGGGCTCTGGGGTTCGTTGAAAGTGCGGGCATTGTGTTCAATGTAGCGCACTTCCCACATTAATGCAGAGATACGCCTGCAGCAGAAGAGAGAATATGCACTTCAGCCTAAAATACATGCACATTGGCATCCGGACTTTGGATTTATGGAAGGATGGAACGTGTGTGTTCATGTGGCCGACCTCACCTGTAAAAGCGGTTCTCCAGTCGCTTGCGGACAGTGCTGAGGTCGGTGGCGTAAGACACCGCAGTGCAGTACAGCGGGTAGTCCTGCAGATTCACTGGTGACGAGAACGCCTTGGCCACATCTGCGCACAAACGTGAACGAGATCAAACGTGGCTGACGCGTACGAGACCAGACAAGAAACTAACAGCCGTCGACCATTTGGTGGCCTACCCAGTGTAAGGAGCTGATCGATGCCGTGGATCACTCGCTCACAGTCTTCATCCCGTGTGTGAGCACCCCACTCTCCCTCCTGAGGCTTGTAAAGCAGAGCCTGTAGCTCGTCCTCGGCCACCTCCACACCGTCACCAACCTGCTCCGGCAACGCAGCTGGTGGAGCCACAAAAACGCTCAGAAATACTATGCATTGCAAATATTTATCAGCCACACAATTCAATAAAACACTTACATTTCTTTAAACTTCTTCTAAAGCTCTGGTTCACCAAAATAATTTTACTTCAAAAATGGATTACTTTTTTTTGTCGTTCTTGCCGAGCACTTAATGAGATTAAAGAGCGAGAGACGGTGCCCTTTTCTTTACAGTAGCTGAACCATCCTAACGGGGAAAATAAGTTATTCTAAAAGGGGCCCTTGGCAGGCGGCGTGGCTGGAGAGCAGCCAAAGATTTAAGGCGTGGATGGCGAGGGGGGCGGTGGGAGCGGACGCACCTTGCAGCATCGATCGGACCCTGAAAGCACCGTCTCCACCTCCCCACAATCCACCCGCCCCGACGTCAAACGCTTGACTGCAGGATCTTATGCGCCTTATAATCCGGTGCGCCCTATATATGAAAAATGTTCTAAAGTAGGTCATTCATTGAAGGCGTGCCTTATAATCCGGTGCGCTGTATAGGGCGGAAAATACGGTAATTAAAAGATCTCATCGAATAAGGGTTCTTTTGGGACTTATGACATAAATATATATGTATGTCTATTCATTTTCAGTTTTCATAGTGTAAAACCTGGGGATCTTTTTGTATTTAAATTGAACAAACCCTAATATAAAAAAAATGCATAACTTACTGGAATTGTCACATTATTAATACCACTGACCTTCCTCAGGAATTGGCTCCATGTCCCAGGGACTCAATTTCTCCTGCTCTCCATTATCCCACCTGATGAGAAAAATCAAATTAAAAAAACAGTTAAACATAAATCCCACTGTACGCAAGATTACCATTGTTTATTTGATTAAACTGTAATGAAACGTGACATTGTGTCAGCAAAGAGGAACATTAACTGAGCGCACGGCTGACACACTGTGTTGGAGTAGAATACCCTACCAGCACAAACAATATAACAGCACAATACACACTCACTTCACTGCGTAGCATTGAAACAGGCTGTCTGGATACTCTGGCTGCAGCGGCTCTTGGTCCTCCACGGAGCCGAACCACCAGGCGTCATCGATGATGCTGCGGAACCTCATACCTGAAGAGAGCAAAGTGAAGACGGGCTCAAACAAAAGACACAGACACCACACTGAATCGGCAAAAGAGAAATTGTGTATTATGTAGATCCATCTTTAAACCATGTGTACTGAAAGAACGTTGTCTAAGGCTGGTATTTGTACATCAGACCCCAAATTGTGTTTGAAGAATCCAGCTTTTGCCACTATACAACTGTTTTGTTCCTCCACCCATTCAACTGATAAATGTGAGTTTGGGTCCTAAGGACGCCTCAGTGTACGCCACTTTAGTTCAACACTAAAAAGGAAGAGCTACTGAATAGATTTCCCGCCATTAACTTTCTGTGACGTCTGATGTGTGAAATCAAAATACTCACCTGGCTGCCAGTTGTGCTCTTTAGCCTCGTTGTAAAACTGCTGCAGTACCAGAAAATCTATCACATCAGGCATGTCATGGTACCTTTAAAATATGGGAATGAAAAATGAAATGAAATGCACCCACTTTAACAATTATCATCATGATCTGTTTATGCTGCTTGTAAAAGGCTTACTTTAATGAGAAAGACTCGTTGGTCATCTTCCCCGAGACGGGGTCCAAGAAAGCCAGTTTTAGGCAGCACAAGGTGGGAGGTCCCACTTCGTATTTAATTCCAACCACCTTCACAGATTCCTGGTCCTGAGGGGAGCAGCAAAAAAATACATCAACGGGAACAACCCCAGCAAAATGTTCTTTTTCGAACATTCTATAAATATGACCCACGAATGCACCAACACAACTTGTGTCCGACGTAATTTAGATCAGAAGTTGGGCGAGCTGCTGGTATTGCCTTTGGTGGCAACACTAACAGCCTAACACGCTAACAAGCGATTCCAAAATACCGTGATATGAATGTTTGGCCACACCGCCCAGCCTTACTGGACGTACTGAAACTACAGATTCCTCCTGAGGTACACATGAATGTCTGCACAACATTTCATGGCAATAAACCAAAAGGTTGTTGCTGCAGTTAACAAACTGTCCTAAATGGCCTCTAATGGAGCCCTTGAGGGCCTCCACACATCACTACAGTGTAAAATAATAGCATGTGCCTCACCCTGAGGTCGAGTCTGTTCCACGGCTGTTTCTGAGGGTTGATGCTGTAAGCTTTGGCCCTGCGCACAGCTCGGACGTAGGCCTGATGGCCCTGTTTGAAGTAGATGAGCTGGAGGACAGGTGAATCATGATCAAAACGCAGGTAATTGCATGTATTTTTCTTTTTTGGATATGAGAGTTACACTTCTTACCTCATCTCCCATTTGTGGAACAAAGGGAGAGCGGTGTGGGACGGTCTCCATTATCCATGCAGGTGGAAGCCACTCTTCCGCGTCGAGTCCAGCCAGAGATGCTGGCGCTTTCTAGGTATGTGCAATTAGGAGAAAATGTTGAAGTCAACAATTTCTCCCCAGTCGTGTGGTGAAGACGTTCACTGTGGGTAAAGGAGCCTCTGACATACCTGCTTGGTCTCCTTAGGCTTCTTCCTCTTCTCACTGTCCCTCTTCTTGGCCTCCTTTTCCTTGCCATCGGCTTCTTCCTCCTCGGAGCTGCTGTAACCTTTTGGCTGCACAGGCCTCCTCGTCAGTCTCTTTGGTGGCTGGAGGTTGATCCCGGCGTCGGCTGTCCAATCAGAATATTCACTGGAGGAGCCGCTGGGAACCAAAAGAGGGGTGATGTTAGTTGGGTGAATGTAACAACAAGTCGACAACGTTGCTACGGTAAAAGAGATTTACCCGGAGCTGCTCTCACTCTGCCACAGAGCTTCCCCATCAGAGGAGGCCGCGCTTTGCTCCGCCTGCGCTGCTGCCTGTCAACAAAAAGAGAGAGAAACCACCGTCACTGTTATGAATGGTAGTTGAAAGGTGTCATGTATGGAAATGTAGAGTAGAAAGGCGGAGCGTACATGTCCATCACTGTCAGATTCCAACTGGCTGTCAGAGTTACGTCTGTTGCTGGAATTTCGCCTCCTCGTCCGTGCAGGCCGAACTTGAGCTGAGCGGGTCTGGTAGGCGTGACGCTGCTCCTTTTTCTTGGTCGGGCGCCGGGACCGCAGGCGCGAAAGAAGCAGATCGCTCTACAAAGTGTGCGTAGGGAGGTGGGAAAATGAGAGGAGCGGGAACCGATTGGCATATGTAGTATTTTTTTCCCTTGTGAAAACAACTATGAAAATAAGCTTTGCATACTGTGGGTGTGCAGGCGACTGGTTTCTTCCTCCTCTCCGCATTGTATAGAGAACATTCCATTTCACCTTTAGCTCGTCTGCACTCCTCCACAACTCTAATAAATAAAAAATAATAATTTCCATTGCAAAATGAAGATAAGAACACTAATATAATATATATATATATATAAATAAATATATGACTTTCTGCAATGTACTTGTATGTAATTCTGTCTGCCTCACCTGGATATGCCGTGTGGGACTTCATTGACCATCACTCTGTGGCTCCAGGCCAGCAGGTCCCTCTCAGTGGCCACTTGACTACGCAGGGCATTATGCTGCATCTGCCACAGCCCGCCCACCTGCACACTTCTCTGTATTTCAGCAGCCGGAGATGAGGCCTCCCCCTCTGCTTCATCGCCCGCTAAATAACAACAAGAGATTGGTCCAGGAATATATGCAGTCAACTCACACTAAAAATATAGTATCCACACATTGCTCATGCTCAGTTTTAACACATTTCAGACTACTAAATGGCATCATTTACTAACAAAGAATACAACATGTTACCGAACATCCCTGTAAACAACTTCCCTTTGCACCATGTAAAGTTAAAAATACCCTCTGCATCTGGAGCCGGCTCCTCCCCGTTCTGACGCTCGTCCTGCTCATTCTGCAACTGTCTGATGAGGTCGTCCAACAGGCTCTCTCTGTTTTCTGCCGTTTGCTGGCCAAGTACCTGCTCAACCAACTCGCCATCACCTAAGCAGCAGCAAAAAAACAAAAGAAAACACTTATTGTGTGAAACGGTCAGTTCTACTTACATACTATACTGTACAGGCATTCTGAGTGGTGACAAACAAGCAGGTTTTACTGTTAGCCATGTATCCTAGCTGGGGTACTAGCTGATCCTCCTTGCACTTCTCTCTTCCTGGCACCAGGCGCTGGTAGTGGGGAGGATGAGGGTTTCCATCGACATCCACCAGGAAGGGTGGAGGCATGAGGTGGGGGGCTTGCTGCGTCTGCTCGTCCAGCACGTAGTTATTAGAGTCACGAATGAGAGGCCGGTAGTCCGTGTGGAAGAACATCTGGTCGGGAATCTGGAGGGAATAAAGAGTACGTTGGTGTTAATAACAAGGAGAAAAATATTATCTTTGGCTCTCCCTTCCTCGGAAGACCTGGACACACAGGACGTTAGGAAAGAGGTCGTCATTTCAAAACCTTCTTGACACCCGGCTTGAGGTTTAACTCTACTCCTGCTGTACCTTACCTGCACCTAGTTTGTTGATGGTTAGAAGTCATTACCTTCTCGTATGGTCTGCTGCAGCCAAAGCCAAAGATGAGCAGGTGGCCGTGCGAGTCGGTGCAGGAGAAATGTTGCCCATCAGCGGAGAACTTGCAGTCAAAAATTGCGCCATGGCCTTGCCCTTCGATCTGGAAGCAAAAATGTTAGTAAGAACTCAATGAGAGAGCAGAGAGAGAAAACTACTAATGGCGATCATTGTAGATAAATCACCATGTTGAAGAAGTTGCGGATCTTGGCTCCTTTGGTCAGGTCCCACATGTAAATGTTGCCATCGTGGCCGGCAGATAGCATGATGCGGGAGTCAAATGGGTGAGCCTCCAGCACAAACACCTCATCATCGTGACCCTTCAACAGAGGGAGAATTGCGCAATTGGTTGGTAAGAAACAAAAAACAGTCTTGTCCATTTTTGCGCAGAAGAAATACCAGGTTCACTCTCTCACAGATAAAACATGCAGCAGCTGTCCGGTGGTTGTGCTCCACACTTTGAGGAGGTAGTTGGAAACGGCTGTAATGATGGTCCTATCTGCACGGTCCCAGGCCACCATTGTCACCACAAGCTTGGTTTTATCATCCCCATTGGTGACAGCGGTTCTGGAAAAAAGCATCCCGTCAGGCACGAAACACTATGGACACCATCAATCGCCAGGATAGAATTGTTCACTCTCTTACCCGGGCAGCCTGGCAGCAATGTCTAAAGTGACGCTCTTCCACTCTTGTTGCTGGTAATGCCAGATCCTGGCCGTGCCGTCACGACTGCCACTCACGAACCTTAAGCTACACACACACACACACACATCAACAGTGAGGGTCTTGAACACCGTACAGAACTACTGGTTGAAGTCGATGATCTCGGCAAGCACACTCACCTGTCACTGTTATTGCTAAATTGGACGACTATGACCTTATCCTGAGACACAAAGAGAGGTATGTATTTTTTTCAGAACTTCTTTCAATGAAGGTAAACAGAAAGCAACGAGAATGATGCAGCTGCTGCATTTTCTTTCTTACCGTGTGCGCATCCATCTCAGAGACCTTCACAGGAGAGTCAGCACCAAGGTAGTAGACTCTGATCAAGTGATCAGTGCCACCGGTGGCCATGAACATACCACCTGATAACAGTGAGGAAAATCCCTGTGACAAGAATAGCCTACAGCAATCTCTTTATATCAATAAGTATTATTACTATGTTAAAACGATCAAAACATTTGTGATTTTGCTAACAGGGAATTATTCAACAACAACCCCCCCACCCCCCGCACACACACACAATCCTTAAAATACACACTACTTCCTCACGATCTGTGTTACATAAAAATTGCTGCAAAGGATTAATAGCAGACAGGGAAACTTACCACTGCTGAAGGAGGAAGTGGAGACCTGAACTCCCGGACGTGACCGCTCAACAAACTTGACGGGTTGATCGCTGAGAGCAGAGGAGAAGCACAACAGCTGTAGTTATTTCCATGGAAACGGACAAATGCTGGAGCTACGAAAAAAAGCTTCCAATGATGCAGCAACACTTACTGGAATTTCATGCTGAGCGAGTGCCACTTCCAGAAACACACCATGCCGTCTGCACCGGTGGAGGCCAGGTACCGCGTCGTACCTTTAACAGCAGGACAAAACTAACAGGGACAGAGAGTTTGTGTTGGTTAGTTGAAGGCGTTACCAAGATTTGATTTGCTTTACAGTAGAGATTACGGTGTTACCCAACTAGGCACGAAAGAATAAATAACATTTCCGATTTTTGTCTGAAAAATATACCGGACCCGCAACAACTACCCTCGGTCGGTTATTTTGTCACGTTTATCTGCCACACCTTCAAGACTAGTCTGCAAAATATTGTCTAACATGAATCTGGTAAAAAGAAAAGTTGGGGACCACTGATCTAGGCATTAAGATAAATAAGAGGTATTGGGGTCTAAAGTGTTTTCCGAGCTTTGTTTGCGTTATTGCTTTAAGATGCTCCAGCCTCACCTGTATGGATGTGATGGAGGCCCCGTGGGCCTGCAGAACGGTCATCGGTGCACAGGTACGCAGGCACCACACCCTGATGGTTTTGTCGCAGCTTGCTGAAGCAATAAGGGTGTTCTCGTGGTTGACGGCCATGTCACAGATCTCGGCCGAGTGGCCGCGGAGTGTTGCCAGGAGCCGCCCGTCGTCTGTTGCCCAGATTTTCACCAGGCAGTCATCAGAACCCTAAATCACATAGGTAACAAAAGAAAATACAGAATCAGACCATTTCAATGTATTCTTTATAGGAGCTCGCTTGGTTAAACCACCTGGGTGCGGCGGCCGTTATGAGGATACAGCATCATACGTCCAATTTTCCTGCAACCCAGCTAAACCTGTGCTCATTTTGTTATGAAGATATCAGATCCAACCTATTAACGCTGCTGCATTTTAGAACGTCAGCACGTTTGGGTTTATCCGTCTTGCTTTAAATGGTAAATTGATGAGAAAAGAGAGCATCATGGGACGACAGACATCCAATAGTTGGCTAATCTTGTCACTTGTCTTACAAATCTGGAGAACCCCCTCAAATGGAATTTTAAAAAGAGATTTGTCCTAAAAATGTGCTTTCTGATTGATTTCCCCTTATGATCTGGAATTTTCTCTTTGCACACTTAAACCCCGGCAATAACTTGCTTACGTGTAACTCAGCAGATGGAAACACAACTAAAACTCACATATACAGCAATAATCATCTCAATCCAAAATCCTCACTCACAGTAAATATCCTGCGGCCGGTGCGGTCAAAGGCTACACAGTAGACAGAAGAGAGGTGGCCAAGGATACGTTTGTGTATCTTCATATGTTGGTAGGAGGAAGACGGCAGCACCTGGTTGAAACGAGCGGCGCCTGTGGCCTGGCGAGCACCCAAGATGGACACTTGATAAGAAGACAGATAACAATGATTAGTAAGAACAACAGACGTATGTTCACCTGTATTAGTCTGGGGGCCCTGGGACCTCTTAGCTAGTAGAAATATGTACAAAAGAAATAAAATAAATAAAGGGTATTACACACCAACACTTGGCAGATCTCCATGGCTGACCGGAGGTTCTGGTGGACGTCCACGGTGGAGTGCAGCAACAGCTGAGCCACTATATACTTTGTGGCTACAACCTAAGTAACCAGGTAATGCGTTAAAAAGAATATTAGGGAAAGTGAATAATTACTGATTTAGATAGTTAAATAATAAAAAAAATGACATATCAAAGAAATAGAAAGCCTGTTAAGCTTATTTAAAGCCAAATCCCCCTCTTAAATTATATTACCATTTTATAAAGACATGCAATAGAGATTTATTGCAAACAAAACAAAAATGCATACAGGACTATGGTGGATAGGAGGGAAATGCTCACTTTTGGTAGTACGAAGCAGGGACTGTCTTCCGAGCCCCAGAAGGGTTTGGACTCCCGGAACACTAGGTGGGATCTCCTTCTCTATCAGCGGGCCTATACGCTGACACACACGCAGCAGATAGTCGGCAGGAATGTGCTGGTTCAAAATCACCTGTGAGAGTCACAGACTATGGTTAATAATAATAACACCACTACTACAAAGTAATAAAACAATACCTACAATATGCAAGTAGCATTTATTACCAAAACACAAAATAACATCTTCGGTTACATAAAAAAAGGTTTAAAGACATCAAATGAACTCCAACAGGCCATGATTTTGACAGGCACCACAATTAGTTAAAACTGACCAATTTAAAGATTTCCCCCAGACATTTAAATCTAAACCAATATATCAGCAATGAGCTTGTTCTATATGGCAGACTGAACAAATCATTTATTCAGCTAGTTTCAAAACTCCTATGAACATAACTACAAAGAAACACAAATCACATTTATAATTAGCGTTTAAACACAAAGTATCAGCTAGCATCTAAACTATATTCTTGTTGTTTTGTGGCGGAGAGAGGAGGATGATGCCTAAACTATCATCTCTGATGGAACACACCTCCCACCCCATTCAGGACTCCCTGGCTGCACTTATTGTACGTCGCTTTGGATAAAAGCGTCAGCTAAATGACATGTAATGTAATGTAATGTAATGTACTCCCTTCCGCCACTGGCTGCTTCACCCCTGGTGTGTGAAGGAGGGGGTCCTCCTTCCCCATTGCTGTCAGGCTGCACTGACATTATGCCATAACAGTTAAAACAATTCTGTCTGTATATATAATATCTGTCTGTATTCATAGAATTTTCTTTCAGTTATTGTTGATTCTTTCTTTTCTTGTTACTGCTTATTTATAATAATTGATTATGATCTTGTTTGTTGTACTGTCTGTTTTCACTTTGACCTTTGCTCCTGTTATCTTGTGAATTATTTCAGGATTTTCAAGGATGGAACACAGCATTCTCAAAAGGGCCTGATTCAAAACTACAATAAATAAAAACAGTGTTAAGAGTTAAGAGGTAAGTATAGTAGTAACACATACACATCCATCAAGTTAATCTATAAATACTAAAGTGACTTATTGTATCGTCCTATTTATACTTGCTCACAATTGTAATATGGTTTTATAATGCAGCTCGTTGAAAAACACGGAAGGTGGGGAGAGGGGGAGGGGGAAGAAAAGCGCTCAGCGAATCACTAGAGCCTCTGACGAATGTTCCGGTTCACTCGCAAATAAAACCGTGATTTCATTGGCTCCAACGGAAGAGTGGCAGCTCACCGGATCTGGCTCAGCCTATCATGACCCACCCTGGTCTCTTTTCGCCTCCTACTAGCCCACACAATACCAAAGCCTATATTTAGTTATTTACCGACGGGCCTGCACTAATATAAATGTCAAAATATGTTCAAATTAAACATAAACGGGTTACCGCCGCGTCTCTTCTAGTGGGTTGATTTAATTACAAATATTTAAATCACGAAGAGATAATCGTCAATTAACATAAACGTTGTACGCTTCATTTGATTAAAATGTTAATAAAGACAATTCCCACTCACCAAATCTTGGAAGGTCCGTTTGTATTTCCTCCCGTCCCAACTCCATCGTTGAGGGACCAACTAAAGTTTAAAGAAAAGCGGTTAGAGACGCCACAAAACCAGCCCGTATGTTCGCGGCTCGACAACACGCTTCTTTATCAGATACCAGACAAAATTAGGGAACATTTGCCCAAAAAGCGGCCACATGTGCAACCACACGGAAACTACAGATGTAAATAAACACAGAAGGATCCAGCTGAACCTACCTCATACTCCTCCAGCTCTTCAACCAGAATCTAACAACAGACAGACACCGTTAGCGTTAGCTGCTAGCACAAGCTACTTATCCAACGTTTTGCGTATAACCGTTTGTCAATGTCTTGCTTATTGTATGTTGTTACCTGTGATGCTTTTTTACAGGGTCCCGACTGTAGAAATCTGGCAATGAGGTAATACAATTCTGAAAAGAAACAAGTGTGTTAGCCTGGTACTAACTAGCGCTGCTATTGAGCCGAGCTAACCTTAGCTAGCTCCGGGCTGCACTCGGTTACTTAGCGCGTTAGCAGGCTCACAACTCCAAACTGTGACAATACAAAATGTTTCGTCGTGGTTGAAAGGGGCTCCCAGCACTCACCAGCTTCGGTCTGTAAACACCGTTCTCCTGCCATCACTTGATGAAGCGGGAGACATTAAGACCAACTGAGGTTTTAGCTTGCTCGTTAGCTGCCGGCTAGCTAACAGTAGCTAGTTGTGTGTTGCTAAAACAGGCTAGTGAATGGCCTCCTCCGTTCTCAAGTTGTTCCCTGGCCACCTGGTGCTCTGTGTTAGCGCCCTCCAGTGGAACAATGTCATATTGTTTTTAATTTAAAATGAATAAATGCTAACATGCTCAAATCCCTAACAAATTCAGAAAGATATATGTCTCTGTGTCTCTTGGATTTGTTTACACATGTGGTAACACAAAAGGTAACGGGAATATTCTAAAGTGGTTAATTACAATTTCCCAAACTTACCAACATGAACCAAATCATCTCTGCAACATTTCCTGTAGTTGAAATTAAGAGTGGGAACTTTATTCTTATTCATGGGGAATCATCAATTGTCAATTTTGAGATTATTTTAAAATGCCATATGATTCTCATGAAGAGCTCCATTCATGATTGTTCATTGTCAAAGTAGGAGTTTCAGACTTTAGACAAAAGTAATTTATAACACAAACAATTCTTATTGTGTTGTTGTTGTATCTGTTGTTTCTATATGTGAAATGTATTGAACACACTAGACAAAGATCAAATACAAACTTAAGGAGTAACTGTTTTTTTCCGAGGCAATCAAATGCTGAAATAAAAAACCCAGAGAGCATGTCTGATTCACGACTAAAAAAAAGATCTCACTATAGTTATTTAGAAAACCGAACGTAAATGTCCTATGAATTTGAATGAAGCATAATCTTCTTTTCGACTTCTCACATATTGTTTACATTGTGACGCACAAAAGAAGTGCAAGACAAACCCAGCATCCGTCAGCGGCTGGCAATACAACTGCAAAGAGTATTCAAGTCGCGTTTGTAGTTGTAGACACATTCACCATGTTCTGTTTGTCACTACATCATCTTTCTGTGTGTGTGCGTGTGTGGGCGTGTTTGGTTTAACGGTTATAGAGCTATGATATTCAGGCATGGGCGTTTTTTCCCCTCAGAAGTAAATACCAAGTGTCTGTTTGCACTGCAGTGAAGGCACAGTTACAAGTTACAGGAGAGGTTTAAAGGGAGGAGAAAGGTCAATAAAATATCCAAATGATTTACATCATTCAAAAGCTGTGAACTTGAAGACAAAGTAGAGCAATTCATTAATGTGGAGAAGTGTTGTATCAAAAAGTTAGTCATATAAAATTGCAGCAAATCTTTGGCTTGATAACATTCCAAAACCCTCCAAAATACCACTTTACACTGTGATTTGGTATCAAAACTGCATGGGATAGTTAGAACGTGTGCATGTGGCCATATAACTCCTTTTCATTAAAGTCGAGTGACCTTTTGGAGAGGCCTAAGACTCCTCGTTCAGCCCTTGGTACCGATGAATGCCTGGCGTCGTTCAGCTTTGCCGCAGTCTATAAAAGCGAATCCGCAAAGGCCTGTTAAAGACAGAATTCCCTTGGGTGTCAAAGGTGCTTTGAACACTTCCAGCACTCATTTGCACTGATTGAACGTCAGGCTGTCGCCACAGTATGTGAAATCAAGAGGGCCGATTCATCACATAACTGCTTTTTTCTTGGATTTTCAGTATTGGCCATGTAGACTTACATGCAAGGATTGACTATATACTAGCTTTCTGAAAGCCTGACTCAGAGAGCAGAAGGCATGACTCACACCAAGCACATGGACTGCACAGATACGGAATACCAGTATTCAGAGCTTTCAATAACCAGCTGATGATTTGCAGGCATTCAAATATATTTAACAGATCATTCATCTGATTCTGAATGAACATTAACTGTTCATTTAAATCGTTAAAAGCCACCAACCACTCTTCGCACAAACAGCTGCATCTCTATAATGTACAGTTTAATTTACAGTGTACAGTCAGGGGGGGGCGGGACTCCTGTGGGCGAACTCTGGCTGCAGAAAGACCTCTTCACGCAGCTTTAAGTGTGTGGCTTCAGGAGTCTCGGGGGCCTCGAACACACACACACACACACACACACACACACACACACACACACACACACACACACACACACACACACACACACACAACTTTTGGGGGAATGTAGGGCATCGTTGTTTTATTTCCGTCTGACCCCCCCGCTCTCATCCCGCAGATTAAAGGTGAGTCTCCCGCTGCAACGACACGTTACGTCACGGCTGTTACGGATCCGCCACTGACGTTACCGGTGGTTAGTAAGTCGTTGAACGTGTACGAGATGTGGTTTTTCTGCGTCTGTAATAAGTATTTTTATACTTTAAACTTGTTTTTCCCTAAATGGAGGCATTGTGTGCTTTCCCACTTTTTAGCAGAGACTTAACACGCCAGTTTCACTCGTGTAACGTTATATGTACAGAACATTTTTGGTTTTATATTGACATTTGATCTCGTATTAACGTTGCGTGAAGTGGTGGGACAAACCCTAATATGAAGCTATGCATGAGATTATAATTTTAATTTAATCTAAAAAGGTGATGGAGCGGGTTTGTTCGTGAAGACTTGGATAAGTGAGGCTGCATGGTGTGATTGGAAAATAAATGAAAAATAGTTTGGAGTTCATGTCTCACTCATCTCGATGGCCACTTTGTTGAGAGGGCCAGATCCCCCCCCCAAAAAACAGCCAATGTTATAGTTGAAAGAAACCTGTGTGCAAATCACGGCAGTATCCAAATAATTGTTCCTCATCTTCATCCAAGTATACTCCCAGTGTGGCTTGAACCAGTTTGCCAGCTTGCTGCGTCAGTGCTGAGCTTGGCCCAGCAGACATGAATAGTGATGAGGATGTGTGCTGACAGCTGAGTGGGAAGGGAAAGGCTGTTCCATGACTGACTGAACCGGGGTGTTCACTGCATCATATGCTCCTTTTTTTATAGCGTTCGGTAACATTTGGGCCGGACTCATGGCTCCTGATACCGTCCTCTCGCTTCAGTTGCTTTCTGGTCACTAAATCCAACAACCCTAATTTAGTGGGTGCCTTCGGGGAAACAGGCTGCCCGAACAGAAAACAGAGAACAGGAGTCAACTATTGTCCTTTGTGGCGGCTGATCTCGCAGCAATCACTGTATTTATCACATAATAATAATAATAATAATAATACATACATACATACATACATACATACATACATACATACATACATACATACATACATACATACATACATACATATACAGGTTGGGCAATACAGCAAAATCATGTATGTCAATAGTGCCTTAGTTTTTAGATTTGCTGAGCTGAGGGCAAATATTCCAACTGGGTCAGTGGCTCGCTGTCAGTGAGGTATGTTACTATTTGCCACTTTGGGTTTGAACATTTGGAACAATAGTTTGAGGGTGTCAGGTTGTAGTGTTAGTCTGTAGTGCTGTTCAGCTAATACGTGGACCCTAAAGTGATGGGATGTACACAGAGGAAGGGGGGAACCCCCAGGCCATTGTACTGGTGCCACTCTGCATCATTATTATAATGCAGGGAATATCAAAATCTATCTATCCAGGGACGGGTTGTCATCATTTTAAGAAACGTTTTTATAACTAGGACGTATTAACGTGTAATCATAACTAATAATCCCGTTACTGTGGCGTGTCACAATTTTGCAAAGCTTGCCCCATAGTATTAAAATCTTTTTTACAGTTCATCCATTCAGCCTCTATGTCTTCTAGTCACTGTTTCTGTGCCCACTGTATCTTTAAAAACAAACAAAAATATTGTCAGTTCACAACGTTGCGTGTCACGGAGCAGTAAACGGAGCAAGAGACCGGTGGACAGAGAACTCATTGTGATCATTGTTGTTTTGGCATTTTGCGTCAGCAGCGCTATTTATTCTTTTTTCGTCTCTTCGCCTTAAAAAGTCCTGCGTTAAAGCTTTGTTAACTGATGACACACGACCTGGTCTCTGATGTTACAGAGCATTTTGCGGGGGAAGTAGGTTACTGGGCCATGTTCTGCAAGCTTAAACTGCAGGCTAGTCTGAATATTGCTAGATCTGCCTAGTGTGACTAGGCATGCACAAATGATGTTGGTCTGTGCAAGAGCGAGGAGATTATTTCCATCCTGTGTCTCTTTAAGAAAGCAGAGGCGCTCCACATGAATGTTGAATGTTCAACCCACGTTAATTCAACTCAAACACACATGAGATTCTGAGTGCAACAGGTTGACTAACGTCACAGGTTGCAAATGGCCAAGCCCTATTTAAACATCAGCGGTCTTATACCTTTGTGTTTGAGCAGCCTATTTTTATTATTTATATTCTGTTTATATATACATTTTCCTTACTTACCTGGATATCAGTGTTTGGTTGTCTTTAAGAAATAAAGATCAAATGCTAGTGCTGAAGCTGAAGGGAATCGCTGTCTACAAGGAGGTATGTTAAATTAATCTCTGATTTTGTTCCTCTCAAGATACTTTAAACCTTTGGAGTCATTGTCCAAAAGTGCATTCAATATTTTATGGAAACCCTCATGTTACATGTCACTCACTGGCACCATGCTCGGTACATTGCTCTCTTCTGACCTAATGTTACTCTCCATCTTTTCCTTTGACATCTCCTGGATGTTTGTCAGAATGTTTTACAGTACATTTTGGAATTGGAGCATTTTATTGTAAGCCAATGCAAGTTTTTTTTTAAGTGGTGCTGATATGTTGAGTGCCTACACACTCCTCTCAATAAGGACTTATTTATTTTTGTGCTGGGCAAAGATGGAAAAAAGTAACTTTGCACGATTTTCTGTGATTAACAGTGACTAATCAAAAACTAGTGCATTGCACTTAAATCCCCCCCCCACCTAAAAACAGTTGTCAGAATAATTTAACAGGCACTCTTGTAGCAACAGCAAGTTAACATCCAGTAAATAAAAGTTTTATTTTTTTTCTGAACAAATACCAGAAGATATACTGTATTTGTCTTCGGGGTATGTTGATTAGTCCTTATAAGGGTCCTTATTAGTGGTCTAGCAAAAAAAACAAAAACTTTTTAGTCTCTAAAGACTGTGGATTTCCTTTGAATCTCAATAAAAAAAAAACACACTTTCAATGATGCAAGTTGAGCAATTACCCAATTTTTTTTTATCCATTTCCATTTTCTTACTCCTCTGCACCAAGCCAGTTGCTAAGACACACAAGGTAATTTACGTTTTC